ACCATCAGGGTCAGATCCTCGCCCAGCTGCTTGTCACTGTGACTGGGGGCAAGTCGCCTTTCTGTGCCTGAGCTTCCTCACCTGTGACCTGGGGTGTTACCACATGGAGAGGTGCGCTCGCCCATGTAAAGCAATTAGCCCCGATCAGGCACATGGAAGGCTTTGATTACTGGGGGGTGAAGGGTGAGGAGCATGTGTTCCTGGGGGGTCCTCTGGGGAGAGGGGTCCTGGTGCTGGCATCAAGCTCTTGGGGCTGGCGTGGACCTTACAGCGGCAAGTTATATTTCTATCTCCTATACTTTTAAGAGTTAATTAAATGTTTTGATTTATGGATTTGTTCTCCTTCCCTTACTGGGGGCCTCTGAGGCTTGGGCCCCACACTGTCAGCTGTCTTACCCATATGGACTTGCAGGAGCCATCCAAGTGAGGCTGAGCCAGGGCCTGTCAGGAGGAAGCTTCCTATAGGGCCCCTCTCCTTAAGCAGGCAGTGCTGGAGGCTCCCACCCCACCTCTCTCCTCCCACCCCCGTACCCTCCTGGAAGTGCAAGTGTGTCAGGCCCCTGCCTGGTTGACCTTTAGCCTGGCTCCCCAGGGCTCTCCGTGGCCAGGGTTGGGGTGGGGAAGAAGTCTTGTCCTTCTATACCCTTCTTGGTATTGTGTGCGCCCCCAGTATTCTCTCTGGGATCTAAAAACTGACTGCATTTCCCTGGACCGCACGGTCCTTCCGTCTCCAGGTCCTCATATATAGTGTTCCTTCTGCCTGGGGTGCCTGACCTTGTTCTTTCCTTGGTGAACCCACCTTGGTCTTCAAAGCTGAGTCATGCTTTTAGAAACCCCTAACTTCTGCTAAGTGGGGTCAATACCTCCATCGGACACCACTGTGTCACCAGAACCTCGCACAGGGCTTAGTGCATTGTAGGTGCTCAACAAAGATTGGTGTAATTGAATTAGCATCCATTATTTCCGTCATGTCTCTGTGATCTTTTCCGTGTGAGCCCCTGAGGCGGGACCCTCCTTGAGTGTGGGGCTGGGGCTGCTTGATCCCTGCATCCAGGGGTCCCTTGTAGGTGCCAGCACGCAGGAGGTGCCTCCTGAAGATCTGGTGAAGTCCCTGGGCTCCCGCAGGTTGAGCTGGGGTATCTCTTGTCACTTCTCAGGGCAGGCTGGGCCACGTGTCCTCAAGCTTCTGGCAGGACATCTGTCTGCTGGTGCCGGCCTCCTGAGGGCAGCAGCCGGGAGTTTGTACACGCAGGACTTTGAGTAGGACCTTGAGCTTGCACACTCATAACTAATTAATTATATTGTAGAACTGAGACTTATTCCCATTATGCAATGACGAGAAAATTAAAGATCTATTGATATTGCAATAATTAATGGAAGAAAAAAGTGGAAAAAACTATGCAAAGTCTGGGATGAAGTCAGTGCTGTTAACTCCCCGATGGTCAGATAGTGGTGAAGGAGTCCTGCTTAAGGGCAGTGTGGACTTGCCAAGAGTTGGGGACCCTGGTTGCCCATTGGTAAGGGGGTGCATGCTAATAGTGGTGCTCTTTCTTGTTGGGGTGCTGCCCAGAGTGACTTTGGGGGTGCATAAGGATGCCTCATTTCCTTTTTTTCCTATAAAAATTATTAATTTATTAATTTACATCCAAGTTAGTTAGCACATAGTGCAATAATGGTTTCAGGAGTAAATTCCAATGATTCATCCCCTATGTATAACACCCAGTGCTCATCCCAACAAGTGCCCTCCCCAATGCCCCCTACCCCTTTAGCCCATCTGCCCACCCACAGCCCCTTCAGCAACTCTCAGTTTGTTCTCTGTATTTAAGAGTCTCTTATGTTCTGTGCCCCTCCCTGTTTTTATATTATTTTTGCTTCCTGTCCCTTATGTTCAGCTGTTTTGTATCTTAATACCATTTCCAGACTTAAGATTCTTTGACCTTGCTCTCCTCTCTGGCATTTAGCTTTCTCATCTGTAAAATTTTCCATTAGAAAAATGGACAGGGTGATCTTATTTGGCACATTGTGTACCTAAGAATGCAGACTCAAAAATGATCGCTACCAATACATGCACTAGTAAAGTTGCTGGACTTTATAGAAAAGGAAAAATTGTGGTGGGGGGAAGGGGCATCTAGGCACAAAAGAGCACATGACTTATAATAGAAATAAAATTAGATCATCTTAAAACTATTCCACCACAATGCTTTATGCCACAAGAAAATGAAATAACATATTTAAGGTACTCAAGAAAATGAAATTAGAGGCAAGGATTTTATATCCAGCAAAACTGACCTTGACATATAAAAGGAAACCTGTTATCAGCATGCAAGAACTCAGATTTATTTCCACAAGCTCTTTCTTGGGAGCCAACTAGAAAATGGGTTTCACACGATCAAAATGACTGTAAAGAGATTCATATTGCAACTGGTCATAAGTTTTAAATATGGTTATTTGTTGAACTAAGACTAGAGAGAAAGATTATAATATGTAAAGGCTATAAGACCCAGTGTTGTAGATACAGAACAATTGAAAATGGAGGGGGGATGAGGAGAGCAAATACAAAATGTATAAAACCGTTTTCAGTTATTATAATTCGTAGTGGTAGTATATTCTTATTCTGAGAGCTTTGTGTAAAGTAGGATGATACAAATGAGTTATTGTGGAATTTTCTATTTCATTTTTTTAAGTAAATGTATTTACTTTGAGAGAGAGAGAGCAGAAGCAAGGGAGGGGCAGAGAGAAGGAAAGACAGAATCCCAAGCAGGCTCCATGCAATCAGCACAGAGCCCAGTGTGGGGCTCAGACTCATGAACTGTGAGATCATGACCTGAGCCAAGATCAAGAGTTGGACGCTTAACCAACTGCACTACTCAGGCAACCCTGGTATTTCTATTTCTACTGGCCCTTGTGTCCTTGAGAATCAGAAATGTCAATATGAAAGATCAAGATGTAATATACATGAAATTAAGTGAAAGCCCTGTATTTCTAAATTAGAATACAGTTAGTAGTAATAACTCATAATGTCCATTGATGTACTAGGTCTAAGGCCAACTCACCTAACAATGAACATGCCTAGCACCCAGATTATTTTAAAATTGAACTTGCCGTTAAAAGAAACCAGAGCTCTTGAGAAATGACTGATTGCATATCCAGGGCAGAAAATATACAAGATGAGTTTGTAACTTCTTGATATAACAGATAACAAGAAAGCTTTCAAAGATAAAATGTTCATGTCAGAAGGACTCATCTGTCAACATAAGGAGGCTGTCACTGGCCAAAGATAGGAATATTTGAGCTTCAATAATGATAGCAATTTTAATGGATTGAAATTTATCAAAATATATTTAAATCCACAGATGTATAATAATAGTGATAATTGGATATTTTCAAGGGATGGTAAGGAAAGAATTTATTATATTAAAAACTGATAAATAAATGGAAATAATCAAACATTTATCTTAACTTTCTTACATGAAATGTACCATGGTATGAGGAAATCCTAGGTGAAGGAAGTGTCTCTTTACAAAAGTATTCCAACCAATAAATGAAAAAAAGAGGATAGAATCAGAGTATTACCATTTTACAATCCCCAGTAAATTAATGGATCTAGCCATTGAGCATCAGTAGCTACTAACATCACAAAATGAGAGACATCATGTCTCTGATGAAAGAATATACCACCACCTACCATCTGGGCAGAGATGGAATCTGAATTTGATCTCTGGATCCAGCTGCAAATTTGTATGAAATACAGAAGACAGAGGATCAAAATTAGCTCGCCATGAGTATGCAATCAGCAAAATCCTGGCTGTGAAGCTACAGATCAAACAGCCCTCATACTCATCAGACAAAAGATGAAAGAAATAGAAGGGGAATCTATAGATTAAAAGAGATTTCTCAGACATAATCAAGTTTATTTTTTAATTGGGAAGATTAAACTGTGCTGTGTAGAAATGAACACTTGGGTGATTAAAAACCTAAAGAAATGCAAGACAGCGGAGAAAATTACTAGAAAAGTCAAGATAGTAGTAATCTTTGGAGAAAGACAGGGAGAAAGCTAAGACTGAGATGGGACATGTGGAGAGGCATCTGTGAAAGGCAAGCAAAGCTTTGTTTTTTGACTTGGATGGTAGATGTATGGGTATTGATCTTATGATGATCCACTAAACTTTACATTTGTTTTTGTATGGTTTTCTCTATCTGTGTTTTATTTTACATAATCACATGCTTTTTAAAAAAAAAGATATGCAAGCAAATTTATAGAAATGAAAAATAGATTATTAATTGCCAACCACTCCAAGGAAATGGTGAGTGACTGCTAATGGGTACAAGATTTCTTTTTGAGGTGATTAAAATGTTCTAAAATTGATTGTGGTATTGGTTGCACGACTAAAATATTAAGAAATGATTGACAGTATACTTTACATAGGTAAATTGTATAGTATGTAAATTATATCTCAATAAAGCTGACATATAGGGGCGCCTGGGTGGCTTAGTCGGTCAAGCGTCCGACTTTCCGACTTTTGCTTAGGTCATGATCTCGCGGTTTGTGGGTTCGAGCCCCGCGTCGGGCTCTGGGCTGACTGCCAGCTCGGAGCCTGGAGGCTGTTTCAGTCTGTGACTCCCTCTCTCTCTGACCCTCCCCTGCTCACGCTGTCTCTCTCTCCTAGAAATAAATAAAAACATTAAAAAAAAAAAAAGCTGACATACAGACATATAGAGATATCTAACATAAAACAGGTAAATATAGATAGATATGTAAGGAGACCACATTAATAGTGGTTAATTGGGGGGGGGAGTCAAAAATGATGTCCACTTTCTATAAAAGTATTACTGAATTGACTATTATACAATAATCACATGTTGCCTTCACTTTTAAAAGCAATCGTGAACATTAGTGCTGTTAATAGAATTTCTGCAATCATGGAGATGTTCTATATTTGCATTGTGCAATACAACAGCCAGTAACCACATGTTAGAAATGTGGCAGAACATGTTAGAACATGAAGGCAGAAGAAAACCTGCTCTTCCAAATCCCAGGATCACAAGGCCCAGGAGGTAGGTGTGAGTCTGTGTGTTTTCCAGGACGATTCACTCGTCATCTGAATATTATTTCTATCAACGCCTTTGAGGATGACATTTTAACCAAGATTTTCAGTTCAATTGCTGACTGGCACTTTGGGAAAGGGTTTGATGTGATATTCTTAAGGTAAGAGATTCCTGTGTCTTCCACAATATTGGCCTCGGATCCTCAGTTTTAGCCCCTCTTTGATGCATCTGCCTTCCCCTTCCTCCTAAGGTATGGAAGGATGCTGGTACACGCTACTATGACAATTTATAAAGCTGCAGTGGAGAATTTCTTGCCAACTCCCTCAAAGTCACATTATGTCTTTAACCTGCGGGACTTTTCAAGGGTTATCCAAGGAGTACTGCTCTGCCCTCACACCCATATGCAGGTCAGACACTATCATTTCTCTTATCCAGTTAATTCAGCGATATCTTTGGCTACATTGAATCAACAGTGATAATAGTAATTGCTAATAAAAGCTTTTATTAAGCTTTTATTTATGCTAAGCATTGTGCTAAGTATTTTATAAGCATTATCATGTTTAATACTCAGCCAGCCCCCAGGAATTAGAAACTAAGAACTACCACCTCAGGTACCACTCAAATAATTAACTCTGGATTTTCAGGATATAGAAAAATTTATCCGGCTTTGGATTCATGAGGTTTATCGGGTCTTCTATGATCGTCTGATTGACCATGAGGACAGACAGGTCTTCTTCAACATGGTGAAGGAAACCACATCCAATTGCTTCAAGCAGACTGTGGAGAAGGTAAGCCAGATCCTCTGAGCATTTGGCCTCAGAAATGGTCCCAAATATTTGACTTCGTTAGTCTCAGATTTCAGGTTTCCTTCCTCATGAAGACTCATAGCTCTGCTCTCTGAATCTCAGGAAATGGGATTGAGTCAACTAGTCACTTGATTTGGTGATATTATACTTGGCCCAATTTTGCTTCACTTCCCTGATAACATATACATTTGGATCCATTCTAAGTGGTTTATGATCTGATGTAATTGTTTATCATTAACTTAAAATACGTTTTTAAGGTTCATTTGTGAGTTAAGAAATGAACCGTGAAATTTTTATGGTCTGATTAACATCCTACTTGATCTTCAAGTAGAAGACTATCATGGTTTCCCATTCGTAAATATTTTCTCTTTCCCCTTTTGATGTAAGAAAAGTTGTTTTTAAGCCTATGTGTTTACATAGTCTAGCTGTACCTCTATATTTAAGAAACTGTGATTTCTCCACAGAAAAATTGTGAGTGCTTCATGTTGCATCTAGAGGCCAAGTGCAGAAGCACTGCCAGTTTCTAATATCAGGAAGAGAAAGCACCTAGAACATTCCTATTCTAGCCAAAGAGTGAGAATCAGGAGTAGCACCTGTATTTCTCTTTGGTGAAGGAGCAAGCATATTAAAGAAATGGTGCCATCCTTCAACCACCACTGGGATCTCACAATCTGACCACCAACATTTTAACCATTTGGCAAATAGATTGATTCTCACTTTCATGCTTTTTTCTCTAGTGTCCTTTCATTATAGTCTTTACAACCAGCAGATCTGTATATTATGTTTTTTAAAAAAACTATTAAAGAACCCTGACTTTGGAGAATATACTCAGAGGAAACACATGTATCTCTTGTTCTCTTCCTCTGTACCTCCCATCATCATCTTGGTTGGGCCACTGGCTGAATGCCTGGCTAAGATTTATCTTTCCCACAGGTCCTCATTCACCTGTCACCCACTGGAAAGATTGTCGATGATAATATCCGTAGCCTCTTCTTTGGAGATTTCTTTAAGCCAGAAAGTGACCCAAAAATCTATGATGAGATCACTGACCTGAAACAACTCACAGTGGTCATGGAGTACTACCTGGAAGAGTTCAACAACATTAGCAAAGCCCCCATGTCCTTGGTCATGTTCAGGTTTGCCATTGAGCACATCTCCAGGATCTGTAGAGTCCTGAAACAGGACAAAGGCCACTTGCTTCTGGTGGGCATCGGGGGCAGTGGGAGGCAGAGTGCCAGCAAACTGTCCACATTCATGAACTCATATGAGCTTTATCAGATTGAGATCACCAAGAGCTACTCAAGCCATGACTGGAGGGAGGACCTGAAGAAGATCATGCTGCAGGTGGGAGTGGCCACCAAAAGTACCGTATTCCTCTTCGCTGATAACCAGATCAAGGATGAATCATATGTCGAGGATATCAACATGCTTCTAAACACAGGAGATGTGCCCAACATCTTCCCAGCCGACGAAAAGGCTGACCTTGTGGAGAAGATGCAAACGGCAGCTAGGACAGAAGGCGAGAAGATTGAAGTCACTCCTCTTTCTATGTATAACTTCTTTATCGAGAGGGTGAAAAAGAACCTTCACATTGTTCTTGGTAAGAAGAAACAAACTCAGTTTGCCCTTTTCCTCAGGGTGGTTCAGGGTCTCCTGTGCCTAAATTTGGTCCTCTAACAGGGGTCTGAGGATTGATCCAGCGGTGGCACTCACCCAGGGGTTTGTGGCTGAATTTCTCTGGAGATTTACCCTCCCCTGAACAACTATTTTAAATCTGTTCCACTCTTCTCAATTCTCTGAATTCTCCTCTGAACCTTTTCCTTTTTTTTAATGCATTACCCTGGTAGCCTTACATCAGGACTTCTCTCTGTGAATGACATCCCCAATTTATCCAGAAACTGAGACATTCTATTTAATACTTTTCTCTCATGTTACCGTGTCCTGTCAGTTTTTACCTCCTTGCTCTCTCTCTTGTCCACCCATTTATTTCCATCCCCACTATGTTCACTTTAGCTAAGCTGCCATCATCTTGCCCAGCCTCACCTCTACAATCTTCTAACTATTCTCTCTATGTCCACTCTTGTCCATTCCAGACCTTTCTGTTCCTCTGACTCAGGATGGGTTTTTTCCCATGTACTGCAAATATGATCATTGTGTACACACACACACACACACACACACACACACGGACACACACATGAAAACACTCAGAATGCTCTCTATCAGGATAAACACCAAAATTCCTAATCTATGGTTTTATAAGGTCACCTGCCATACTGTCCCCTGTATCCTCTCCACTCTCCTCTCAAACCAAGCTCCCCCTTCTCTCTCTGTTCTTCAGCTACAGTGACCTCCTCACATTTCCACCTGTGCATCATGCTTCCTCCTACTACACTGAGACCAAATACAAAATGAATGGAATTTAGCCAAAATTTTTGCTTGGATGGAAATGAGGTCAGAAACAAGCTGATGGCCCCTACTCGACTTCCATAAATAACTATGTATCTATGGTTCTCTTATGTCTGAGTCAGCACAAATAGAGAAAGAGGATCAAAGGGTGCAAACCATGCTGGCTAAGTGATGCAAAAGATCTGGAAAGGAGAACGATGGATAGGGAAGGCCAGTCAGAGACTATCATAATGTATTAAATTCCCATCACAAAGTTACATGAAAGTAGCCTATGATTCCACTGTGCTTCCCAGGCACTCATTGTCACTATACCCACTATACCCCTCAAGTACCAACAGGAAACCAGCCCCTTACCCACCAGAATCCTTGGGAAGACCTGTCTGCTTCCTTGCCTTGGAAGAAGGAAACTAACCACGTCTGCTTTTCATTAGCCATGAGCCCAATTGGGGACGCCTTCCGGAACCGCCTGCGGATGTTCCCTTCGCTGATCAATTGCTGTACAATTGATTGGTTCCAGTCCTGGCCCACAGATGCCCTGGAGTTGGTAGCGAACAAATTTCTGGAAGATGTGGAGCTTGATGACAATATTCGGATAGAGTAAGCATTAGCTGCATTTTAGTATCCCAACCAAATATTCCAAATTGAAAATCTAAATATTGGCTGTATTGTTACTATTGTTTTACAATTTCTCAATTTACATATAGAAAATCCCATTTAGGGGCACCTGTGTGGCTCAGTTGGTTGAACATCCGACTCTTGATTTTGGCTTAGGTTATAATCCTAGGGTTGTGGGACTGAGCCCCACATTGGGCTCTGTAGTGAGCATGTAGCCTGCTTAAGATTCCCTCTCTCCCTCTGTCCCTCTCCCCTACTCTTTCTCCCTCTTTCTCTAAAAATAAAAAATAAAAAAAGATTAAAAAAAAGAAAATCACATTTAGTTAGATATTTAATAAAATACCTTTGCTGAAAAAGAATGAAATTTCATTGTTCAGAATTGTCCTGGGAATGCACTGTTGTCATAACTATGAGAACCTTGTTCTAATAATATAGCTATTTCAGTCATTTTAGAGCATGAATTCTCAGTAGGAATGACATTGCTACCAAGGGGATGAAATTGGTTGTTTTGAGAGTGAAAAAAAAAAACGTACTCTTTTATGTATAAAGCACGGATATACAAAAAACAACCCCAAAACACATAGTAATTACATAGTAATTCAATGTCTATTTATTAATTGAATGAATAGAAAAATGAAGAAGTAGGTAGGGGTCAGAATATTGATGCCTCTAAGTTCCTCCTTAAGAACTTTGAACTTTATTCCCTAGGCCAGAAGACCCTTAACTTGGGTCCACGGACTCATGGACAGAATTCAGAGGGTCAGTTGATGTGAATGGAGAAAAATTATATATTCATTTTCATTGACATCCAACTGGTATTTTGCATTTCCTTAAATGATGAATGTAGGCAATAAACCCCAGTAGGATTAGCAAGACTTGTTACCAATTGGAATCCTAGTTGTGTGTGTGTGTGTGTGTGTGTGTGTGTGTGTGTGTTTTAAATAACTCATTCAGTCATTACAGATACATCAGTGTATCATTTCCTTCAGAGTTGTCGTAGTTTTTAGACCTGATGCCTCATCTTATTATTTAATGCAGGGTTGGCAAACCATGATCTGCTGACCAAGTCGAGTCCACAGCCTGTTTTTGTAAATAAAGTTTTATTGAAACATAGGCATACCATTTTTTTCCCACACAACAGCAACAGAGTACCACTACTCAACCATGTGACCTGGTGATTTTTACTATTTGGCCCTTTGCAGATAAAGTTTTCCGACCCCTGATATATTGCAAATTTGGTTTTTAAAATATTTTGAAAATGATTTCAACATAATTGGTTCCTTTTGTAATCTTATGTATTTTTTATGCTTTTGAAAATATTATTCTGCAAAATCCAGAGGCTTTACCAGACTGCCAAAGATTGTAAAGTCCTGGTTAAAGCTCTGGTGATTCCCCAAAGTGATCAGAAATAGAAATTACTTGCTCAAAAATTATTCTAGTAGGAATATATATCTCTCCAAACCTTCTTGCAGCTCTGTTGGCCTGTCTTTGAGAATTTGGGACCCTAGCAAGCCATAGGCAATGTGTACCTTCTCACATCCTCATGTCTATAGTCAAAGCTGTGCTCGGTATCTCTGGAAGACCTTGGGCCTGCCTAACCCTTCTCATGTCCTTGGCAGAGTCATCTCCATGTGCAAATATTTCCAGGAGAGTGTGAAGGACCTGTCACTTGATTACTACAACACACTTCGCAGACACAACTACGTTACCCCTACCTCCTACCTCGAACTGATTCTAACCTTCAAGACGCTCCTGAACACCAAGAGGCAGGAGGTTGATATGATGAGGAACCGTTACCTGACAGGTCTGCAGAAATTAGAATTTGCATCTTCACAGGTGAGCACTTCCAAAATAGAAGAGGGACAAAGAGGCCCAGGCAGAGGTGGGTACAGTGAGGCACTTGTTCAGGTGCAGAACTCAAGAGGTCACTACATAAGGGCAGCATCCACCCCTCTTCTTGTAGAGCTTTACCTTGCAGCCCTCGGAGATTCTCTTTCTTTAAGATCTTGATATCTTGTTCATCATGGATGAACCCTGAATGCGTTATTTCACCCCTTGGAGCCTCAATTTGATCTCCTATAAAAAGGGGATAATAGTTTTTACGTCACAGGACTATTATGAAGATTAAATGGGCTAACACAAGTACAGCCCATAGCAAAATGCCTGGCATATGAATTAGTAATTAATTTGTGCTCAGAGCCACTTGACAAACCATCAAAAATGAAAGCCATATAAAAGGGTGGATTTTCAGCACTAATAAAGAACTGAGCTAACTGAGAGTTCATGGTAGGTTGACCTGCCTCTGAGTACAACAAACCCACTACCACTATGACACAAGGATGGGGGAGAACCGCAGAGGTGTCCTCCCTCACTCTGTTCCTGGGGGTCCCTGGCTCTTAGAGAGGTTTGGAAAATTGGATTCTGTCCAGGCAAGGGTGAGCAAACCATGTTGTTGGAGGACCAGCAAAAGGGCCTAAGACAGTCTAGACCAGAAAAGAGAATGATTTTCTGTTAACATTCCTTGAGCCCTACCACATGCCAGTACCGTGTATGAGGAAAGTGCTGTTATCATTTCCGTGTTACACACAAAGAAACCACGATGCAGAGAGGCCAGGAGACTTGCCAAAATCACACATGCAGCCTTGCGAATAGCCGGAGCGAGTGGTCAGGCCAAAACTGAAACCCTGCTCTGCGTGATTCCAGAGCCCGTGTTCCTATCCAGTCCAGCGTGCTGTGCTTCTCCCATGTGCCTGCTGGGGCCAGCGGTTGCAAGGTTATGAAACCTTCCTCAGATATGCATCTGAGCTGCCTTAGAAGGTAGAATCAGGGCCATTGGTGAAAAATGGCACAACTGTCCTGAAAGATACTGAACCCCCACCTTTAGAAGTACTCACACAGGTCAGAAAGCTACTTGGCAGGAATGCTTTAGAGGGCACCAGACTCTTGGAAAAAATGGCCTTTAAAGTCTCTTCTACCCCAGGTATCTCAGACATGTATGCTTCCTTCACAGACTAAAAAAATAAAGTACAAGTTGTTTTGTTTTGTTTTCTTCTAACTTGGTTTTGTTTAATCTCTCCCTGCCCCCAGCACTGAAATTTAGATTAAAGAGCACAGGAGTAAACTGTACCTTTTTAAAAATGTTTAAGTTTATCATGATATGTCTAGTGCATAGCACCTGTGCTTGATAACTTACAGCACAGTGTGAATTCAGTAACTAAGTATTGAAAGATCAAAGAGAGAAACTCCAGCCAACAAATACATACCCAGGACCATGCTAAAATCATTAGTATTTTCTGCATATATCATAGGTTGGAGATTGGTTTCAACTCTTGCCAACCGTGCTATTCTCAGTGATGACAGAGCTGACCCTGCCCCCCTCTTCTTGCTAGGTGGCAGTCATGCAAGTAGAATTGACTGCTCTCCAGCCTCAGCTCATCCACACCTCTGAGGAGACTGCCAAGATGATGGTGAAAATTGAAGAGGAGACAAGAGAAGCTGATGCCAAGAAACTTCTGGTGCAGGCAGATGAAAAAGAAGCTAATGCTGCTGCTGCCATTGCTCAAGAAATCAAGGTATAAGGAGCCAAAGAGGAAAGGGAGGGAACCAGCATTTTCTGGGCTCATCCACAATCTCACTAGAGCCTAACACAGTCCTGCACGGTGTGTATGGTCAGGTCCATCCTGCAGCAAAAAGTGAGGTCTGAAAAAGACAGCTGACTTTCTATGCATCACATAGCTAGTAAGTGGTGAAGCAAGTCTTTGTAACACCTGGCTCTCTCCAGGAAGCATTACTGTTTTCCAAATATTCTCCATCTCACGCGGAGTCAAGACCTATAAGATTCCAACATGATCTAACATCATCTCATTAGCTTCCCTTCATTCACTCTGCTCTTGCCACTCTGGCCTCCTGACTATTCCTCAGATAAGTACAAAGGCACACTCCCAGCCCAGGGCCCTTGCCACTGGCTGTCCCTCTGCCTGTCTCCTCCACCTCCATCATTTTTTGCTCAGATGTGCTTGGTGTGTTACAAGTGTGGAATAAATCATTGCCAAATAACAGAATGTTGAACCTAGAAGACCCCACTTGAAGGTGATTCTTGTACCAAAGAATAGTCTTGGGTAGGGCTTCACCTACATTCCGATAGTAGAAGAAAATCTGATTAACATTCGTGTGATGCTACATATTTCTCATCCCTTTCAGTTGCACAATTCCATTTTAGTGTCACAACTGCCTTGGACTTGGAAATGACAAGAATCAGTATCTGAGAGTCAATGACATTAAAATTCAGTGGCAAAGTGATTTTTCAGAGTTGCACAGCTGGTTAGCGAGTTAGTTAGTGCTGTTGGCACTTAGGTCAAGATATTTGTCCCGATTCAGAATTAGAAAATCCTTTTCACCATTCTTCAAAACAGCTTGAATGAGAAGTAGCTTGTGTCTAGGTTCTAGGATAAATAGGTCATGAGGCACTTTCTTGAAAAGGACAGGTGTTACAGACACTTTTCTCCAGTGAGTCCCGAGACCTGGCTCTCATAGGTTCCTTTAGATCCAATCCTTGGTCTCACAGTCACACAATGAAGGCCCTGGGTGAGAGAGGTGTGCTCACCCATAGTCCCAGGGGCATAGACAAGAGGCCAATGGAACCATAGAAAATGGTGACCACCAGGAATCATAATCCAGTGGATGTTTTGCCATTTTATGACAAGACGATAGTAATAGCTACTACTTGTCAACACCACGTTGGTTTCCTGAAGTCCTTCATTTAACAAATATTTATTGAATACTTGCTGTATGCTGGCATCCTTCTAGGCAGTGGGGGTAAGGAGTGAACAAGACAGACAAAATTCCTTCCCTCATGGAGACTGTATTCTCTCATGCTTGATACACATAGCCTTTTATCATTCTAACAGTCCTGCAAGGCAAATGATATCATTCCCAGTTTACAGATAAGGAAATCATGGTGCAGGAACTTAAATGACTTGTCCAAGGTCATGTGGTTACCATGTGATTGAATCTGGGAGTGTGTATTTACCCCGTGACACACATGGTATTTTTTTAAAGTCTGAAACAATCCTCAACTTTTAAAAATAAGAGATTTCAAGTAAAAATTGTAAATATTCAGTTTTTCTTAGGAAAAAAATCAAACATTCTGGCAACACTGGACCTATGTTGCTGGGTTGCACTCATCAGCAACATTGAATAGATGCTGCCCCATGTGTCTTCCAGTTCCCCAAAGCCCCACCCAGCCCACCTCCCACAATCACATCACAGGCCTGGCCCCTGTACACACACGAATTTGCAGTTCCCCTGTGTTTAATATTAGAATTGGGTACATCAGGGCTCAGTATTTTCTACAACCTCAGTTTTCTTGCCTATAAATTGGGGATACCTAAGAAAAACAGGTAAGTTTTATAATACGTGTCCAGCACACAGTCAGAGTTTAGTGGTGCATGTTCTCTAAAACTGTTGTTCTTTACCTGGTACCAAGTGGATTTGCCCATTCGATAAAGACAGCCTCTTGCCACATGTGGGTACCATCACAGGATTCCACTCCAGAGTGTCTGAGGAAAACAGGGACTTGCTGGAGCAGAAGGGATGTAGGAGGTGACATGGAGATGACCCACCACGCCCATTCCTGGGTAGTAAACTGCTGTCTTGGGTTTTGGTGTCAAGGGTAAGGTCTGATGTTCTGCCATCTCATCCCTGAGTGTTAGGAATGATATCCTGGAGGTGAGTCAGGAAGTGCATCCAGGGAGGAGAAAGACACTGTGCTTGCTCTGAGTTTCTCTGAGGACTAGAACCCCTCCTTGAACTTCTCAGAGCTACAGTCCCTCTCCACACAAGGACTATAATTTTCTCCAGTCTCCTCCCACCCCTAGAAAGGAGATAACCTGGGAGAGCTCCCAGTGTAGTGGCCCCTGCAGCAGAGAGGCTCAGCCATGCAAATAGAATCCATCCAGGGACAGTGAGGAGACTGACAGAGAAAGAGGCCCAAATACTTGCTTCCCAAGTACAACAGTTCACTTACAGTGGTCATTTCTTTTAAGCGAATGAATCATTTCTTTTCCCCCTAATGAGGATAATAACTGATGCTGGAATCACCGCAGAGTTGATTGTGTTTTGTGGGAGTGCACTGTGCTTTGTACCTTTCAAAGGGCCCTGATATTCCTTGAATTGCTAAGCAACAGGGGTCATTTTTAATCATAATGTTTTTTATCATAGAAACAAGTGATGTGGCAATAATAACACATAGGAAAGAATATTGAAGAACTCAGCTTTGAACACCTTTTCAATTTCCCGTTTCCTTCTAGCCCCTGTCTATACATATGGATAGTTTTATGTTATTGCAGTCATAACATAATTGCAGTTTGCATCGTGCTTATTTATTTCCTTAACATCCTATCACAGATGTTTTTTCAAAATGTCATATAATCATTTCAATGACCATTTTAAGTGCTTCTCTCATCAAGTTGCCAGCACCCTATTGGGCACCAAAATCTGTTCCTTCCTGCAATGTTTTCAGTTTCGAAAGTCTAAGTTGGAGTCTCTCAACAGACCTGTGTGTCAGAATCACCTCTGGAGTTTTAAAAAGGTGGTGCCGAGGCCTCACCCAGATCGAATGAATCAGAGTCTCGGGGCATGGGGCCTGACCATGAGGATGGCCTTAAATGTTCATCAGTGACTCCGAGGCAGAACCAGCATTGAGAATCACTATACACACAATCTTATAATTAGAACCTTTTTAAGTCACTTGACAAACAAGCTTGCTGGTACCCAGGCCTTGCCCCTTAGGAAAGGGAGCAGAGCTACTGGGCCACTGGTTGTCTGGCACATGATAAGGAAGGAACATGAACTATTGATGGCACCCATGGGCACCTGGAATCATTGAAATTCACCAAGAATTTAAAGCGGTGGCTGAGCCAACACCTTTTCTCTCCTCTGCGACCGAACTATCTGAAGTTGACCATGAGAAACAGCAGGCTTTGGTTTCAGTTCTTTTCCTCTTGCTTTGTACTCTGGCACCTATCCTAGGACTGAAGAGGGAGCAAACTGAGTTTCCCCTGGGACTGGGCCATTTTTGCCATCTGAAGCGGAACATTCCATTTTGATATTGAGAACATTTGACGTGGTTCATGGGGGCAGGAGTGTTGTTTTAGTATAATAAAGCCAAACAAAACATTGCTGCAAGTTTATTTAAAAAGCAGAAAACCTAAAATAAAGAATCCATGATATAGACACATGAGGATACATACATGCGCATGCATACACAGATGCAAGAAAGTGAAACCACCTTTATTTTGTTTGCCTAATATATCCCTGTGGGATATGGACTTCAACACATGCTGCTTTGCCTAAGAATTGTTGTTCTCTTGTGAAGCTTCACTTCAGTTGTAGCTGTGTGACCATTTGTAGGGCTGGGCAACTGACAGACAATTCACAGAGTGTGAACCAGTGTCCCAAATTGGAGCTTCATGACCGCAGCTAACTCATTTTGCGTACTGAGATCTTGTTTTTATTTTTGTTTATTTGGTAATTGGATTAGTAAATAGCTTATAAGGTCCCTTCCAGTTCTAAAATCTCATGATGTTAAGCTTTCTTTTTTAAAAAAATTGAGGGCCATCTGGGTGGCTCATTTGGTTAAACATCGGACTTCAGTTCAGTTCATGATCTCACGGTTCATGTGTTGGAGCCCTGTGTCGGACTCTGTGCTGGCTGCTCAAAAATTAATAACGTTAAAAAAAGTTTTTTAATTCACATTAATTCACATACCATTAATAACCACCTTTTGTTTAAGTTTATTTATTTTGAGAGATAGAGGTGAGGAGGGGCAAAAAGAGAGGCAGAGAGAGAGAATCCTAAGCAGGCTCTGCACTGTCATCACAGAGCCTGATGTGGAGCCTGAATTCAGGAACTGTGATATCATGACCTGAGCTGAAACCAAGAGTTGGATGTTTAACTGACTAAGCCACCGGGGCGCCCTCCACCTTTTTAAGTTATGCAATTCAGAGGTGTTTAGTACAGTCATAGAAGTATACACCTATCACCACTAATTCTAGAACATTTTTGTCACCCCACAAGAAACCTAGACCTGTTAGCAGTCATTCATCATTCCTCTCTCTCCCCCAGCCCTTGACAACCACTAACTCATTTTCTGCTTCTATAGATTTTCCTTTTCTGCCCATTTAATGTAAATAGTGTCATAGAGCAGGTGCCATTTTGTGTCTGGCTTCTTTCACTTCGCATATTTTCCACGTTGTCACATGAATCAATACTTCATTCCTTTTTATGGCTGAATAATATTTCATTGGATTAATCTCTTTTCCCATTCCTCATCCTTAAACTCTTGCCTTAAACTCTCCCTTATCCCCAAGCTTTACCTTATCCCTGACTCTACCCCCTGCTTCATCTCTGAACTACAATAAATTCCAGGCTTCACCACATCCCTGACCCTCCCCCACCTCTCATGCCTTATTTCTTCCCCAAACATACACTAACCCCCTTCCCAGCTGTCTCTCAACCCCTGGGCCTCATCCTTTACTCCATTTCTCAGTCCATCCTTGATCAGTGGGTGTGAAGTTACCCACTGCATATATCTCTTGGGAATTTAGTTAGAATCCAAAGCTCGATTTTTTTTTAGATGACAAATTGGCTGAACTCTCAAATGTCCAAGGCATCAAAACCATGCCCTGAAAAGCCATGGATGCCTCCCTGCTGCCATTCAATAGTTAGAGCCACCCCCCTGTGTGAACTCCAGAAGCAGGCGCCATCCTGGAAGGACATGGAGGGGCAGGAAGAGCTTCTTCCAGCTTTCTCCAAGAAGTGAGTTCCTGGTGCCTGGCTCACACCAGGCACTCATCCCTCTCTGTCCCTTTGCTGACCACAGAACGAATGTGAAGGGGACCTGGCAGAGGCCATGCCAGCACTGGAGGCTGCACTCGCTGCCCTAGACACCCTGAACCCAGCAGACATCTCACTGGTGAAGTCCATGCAGAACCCGCCCGGCCCTGTCAAGCTGGTCATGGAGAGCATCTGCGTCATGAAAGGGCTGAAACCAGAGAGGAAGCCAGACTCCAGTGGCAGCGGTAACACCCTTTAGCTCCCCACTGCTCTGAGCAGCCTGCCCTGGCTGTTTTTCCCTGGCAGGACTATCACACCCCGACCAACCCTCCCCAGGCCCACAGGCAGGGTCTGGAGTCCCACAGATCAGAAAGGCGCCAGGAGGTGCATGCTTATTCACATAGCTCTCTCCTGTTCCTTCACCTTCCTCACTCCTCTCAATCAGTAGGGGAAAGGCAGGCATCTTTTAGGTGAGGCTGAGCTTAATCAAGGCCCCTGCCTGCAAATCATTACAAAAATGAAGGCTGTGGAGACAAAGGGCTGACACAGAGTAGTGTGTGGTTGTGGGGGAGAGAAACAGAAAGAGCTAGAGAAAGAGCAAAACTGACAGGTAACTAGAGAAGGAAATGCAGAGAATGAGACCAAGATAACAGGGAGATGGAGAGATAGGCACCTGGGCTCACCGGCACATGCACATGTGCACAAAGAGATAATGAACTGGGTGAGAGGTGAGGAGGGAGGGAGGCAGAGGGAACAGAAGAAGAACTGGAAACAGCGTTAAAGGCAGAGAGAAAGGGGCAAAGGGAGGCTGAGACAGAAGCTGAGGTGGGAGGAAGACAAGGAATCAGAAACTTGGGAATAGAGGAGGAAGGAAAGCTCCTCATAGAATTGGACCTAGAAGCATTAGTAGGTATTTGTTCTCCTTAAAATCTGAATTAGGTGTAGGACTTTTTATTATTAACAGCAGTGCCTTAGAGATGAACGAGGACTTTAAGAACCAACCTCAGTAATATTCCCTGCCTTGTGAATCTCCTGTCCTGGGAACAGTCCTGCTATTCCTCCATTCCTTCTGAAAGGTTCTAAATCCCTAAGCCCTCTTTCAGGACTCTCTGGCTTCTGCTTCCCAACGACGAGTATTTACCCTTCCCTGTTTGGTGTCAGGCCAAAAACCACACGAAGAAGATGCAGAGGTGATCAGGAATGGACAGGCAGGAAGTGGACTTCATAGGAGAATCCCTCAGGGAAGCAGCTGAGGTGTAATAAGTTGGCTGAGTAAGAATGAGCTAGTCCAGCACTTCCCCACCCTAGCTGCACCCTAGAACCACCTAGGGAGTGTAAAGAATGCTGAAGCCCGAGCCTCCACTCCCAGAGATTCTTCTTACTCCACTGGTCTTGGGTACAGGCTGAGCCTGTATATATATATATATTTTTTTTTTTTTAAACTCCCAAATGATATGTATAATTTTTATAAAGCTCCCAGATTATCTAAGGTACAGCCAGGATAGAGAACTGCCAAGATACACAAAGTATGGCCAAAATCACGAGAGTTCATTCTCTTGGATCTCTTGATCAGCACAGGGCCCACCATTCTCTTTCCTTCTTCTTCTTTTTTTTAATTGAAGTGAATTGTGTGTGTTATTCATTTATCCCTCAGAACTTTAGCCAAAACATTAAGATGGAGCAAAAGACCCTTGAATTCATTTTGGGTACCTTGAATTTAAACGAACCAGGTCATTTTCCTGAATGCAGACAAAAACCTTCATGTGAAATATTTGTTTGGTTATTGTGCTTGCATTAAAACAGGACACATCTGACCTATTGTACTTAATATGATTTCTCAAGTATAACTTTTTTTATTAGCCTGAGGTTGGCAAGTGTTTATAATGCTATGAGCCCAAAACGCTTCTAACTCGTTTCCAGCATGTCAACAAAAGGGATGCAGCCCCAGGATGGGATCAAGGCTCATGCAATCATTGGCATGATGGGTGCTGAGGAAAATAAGGGTCCTGCTTAGTTTCTGGACAGGCTAAGGATGGCCTTTTGTATAGTTACATGCTGCTTCCCCACCGTTGCTCTTTCTCTTGAGACTCTAACTCACAAGGACTGATTGGGTATCATCTAATCCACCTCCCAGACTTGAAAAGGAATATTCATGGGTGCCTGGGTGGTTCAGTCAGTTAAGCATCTGACTTTGGCTCAGGTCATGGTCTCTCATGGTTTGTGAGTCTCAGCCCCACATTGGACTCTCTGCTGTCAGCACAGAGCCCGTTTCAGATCCTCTGTCTCCCTTTTTCTGCCCCTCCTCCCTCTCAATAATAAATAAAACATTAAAATTACAAAGGTTACATAAATGATGTAAAGGGAATTGACATTCCAGCACCCAAGATGAAAGAAAATACTGGGGGAGGGATAGAGTGGCCCTGCATAGTGATAGCAATCTGGGGAAACCTCTCAGTGGAGGGGACTTTTTTTTTTAGTGTTTATTTTTGAGAGACAGACACAGAGCATGAGCAGGGGAGGGGCAGAGAGAGAGAAAGACACAGAATCTGAAGCAGACTCCAGGCTCTGAGCTGTCAGCACAGAACCCAATGTGAGGCTCAAACTCATAAAATGTGAGATCATGACCTGTACTGAAGTCTGACACTTAACCCATTGAGCCACCGAGGTGCCCCTTAGTAGGAGTATATTTTAAATTGAACTGAAGTCTGAGAGCCAGCAGATGCCATTTAAAGGCTAGGTCCAGGGCTTATGGTAGGGAAGCACTTAAGATCATTGAGGAGTAGAAGGAAGTTTCTTCCTGACTGAAGTCCAAGAAGTAAGGCCTCAGAGATGAGATAGATGAGTTCAGTGGGCCTCCTGGACCATGGTGAGAAGCTTAGATTTTTTTTTAATTTATATTTTATATTTTTAGAGCAATTTTAAGGTCACAGCAAAATTGAGAGAAAGGTACAGAGATTTCTCATATACCCCTAACCCACACACAAGCATAGCATCCTGTTATTGTAACAGAGTAGTACATTGGTTAAAATTGATGAACCTATGTTGACACCTCATTATCACCCTGAGTCCATAGTTTATATTAGAGTTCACCCTTGGTCTTGTACATTCTATAGATTTGGACAAATATATCATGGTATCCATTATTATATCCATGATTATGATACCAAACAGCATATTTTCCTGCACTAAAGATTTTTGGTAGGACCTTGGATTTTTTTCCCCCAAATATGAGTAGCCATTGCAAATCTTGAAGTCTCAGCCAGAATGTCTTAATAATAGTCCAATCTCCATTTCTTGTTCCCAATAGGTAAAATGATAGAAGATTACTGGGGAGTTTCAAGAAAGATCCTTGGAGATCTGAAATTCTTGGAGAGTCTTAAGACATATGACAAAGACAACATTCCTCCAGTGATCATGAAGCGGATCCGGGAAAGGTTCATTGATCACCCAGATTTCCAGCCGGCTGTCATTAAAAATGTGTCATCTGCCTGCGAAGGTCTCTGCAAGTGGGTGAGGGCCATGGAGGTGTATGATCGCGTGGCCAAAGTGGTGGCTCCCAAACGGGAGCGGCTGAGGGAGGCCGAGGGGAAGCTGGACACACAGATGCGGAAACTGAACCAGAAGCGAGGAGAACTGAAGCTGGTAGAAGATCGCCTCCAGGCCCTGAATGATGACTTTGAGGAGATGAATACCAAAAAAAAGACCTTGGAGGAAAACATTGAGATCTGCTCCCAAAAGCTGATCAGAGCAGAAAAGCTGATCAGTGGTCTTGGGGGAGAGAAGGACAGATGGACAGAAGCCACCCGGCAGCTGGGGATCCGCTATACCAATCTGACAGGGGATGTGCTGTTGTCCTCAGGGACTGTGGCTTACCTGGGGGCCTTTACTGTGGATTATCGAGCCAGGTGTCAGAAGGAGTGGTTGGCCCAGTGTAAGGACAAGGTCATCCCTGGCTCCAGTGATTTCAGTCTCAGCAACACATTAGGAGATCCTGTAAAAATCCGTGCCTGGCAGATTGCTGGGCTGCCCGTCGACTCCTTCTCCATTGACAATGGCATCATTGTGTCCAATTCCAGACGCTGGGCCTTAATGATTGACCCTCAGGGGCAGGCCAATAAGTGGATCAAGAATATGGAGAAAGCAAATAAGCTGTCTGTCATCAAATTCTCAGATGCCAGCTATGTGAGGACGCTGGAAAACGCTCTGCAGTTTGGCACCCCCGTCCTGCTAGAAAATGTTGGAGAGGAGCTGGATGCCTTTATTGAACCCATCTTGCTCAAGTCCACATTCAGGCAGCAAGGGGTTGAGTACATGAGGCTGGGTGAAAACATCATCGAATACTCCAGGGATTTTAAGTTATATATCACAACCCGTCTGAGGAACCCACATTACCTCCCTGAAGTCGCCGTGAAAGTCTGCCTGCTCAACTTCATGATCACGCCCTTAGGTCTCCAAGATCAGCTCCTTGGCATCGTGGCCGCCAAGGAGAAGCCAGAACTGGAAGAGAAGAAGAATGAGTTGATTGTGGAAAGTGCCAAGAACAAGAAACAGCTAAAAGAAATTGAAGATAAGATCTTGGAGGTCCTCTCCCTGTCTGAGGGCAACATCCTCGAGGATGAGACTGCCATCAAGGTTTTGTCCTCCTCCAAGATGCTGTCTGAAGAGATCTCTGAGAAACAGAAAATTGCTTCAGTAACAGAAACACAGATCGATCAGACTCGGATGGGCTACAAGCCAGTGGCTATTCACTCTGCCACCATCTTCTTCTGTATCTCTGACCTGGCCAACATTGAGCCAATGTACCAGTACTCCCTGACATGGTTCATAAACCTCTATGTGCATTCCCTGATCCATAGCAATAAAAGTGAAGAACTGGACCTTCGCATTGAGTACATCATCGAACATTTTACCCTCAGCATCTACAACAACGTCTGCCGCTCTCTGTTTGAGAAGGACAAGCTACTTTTCTCTCTTCTCCTCACCATCGGCATCATGAAAGAGAAAAAGCGAATTAATGAGGAGGTTTGGTATTTCCTTCTAACTGGAGGTGTCGCCCTGGACAACCCTTTCCCCAACCCAGCTCCTGAATGGCTGTCTGAGAAGGCGTGGGCAGAAGTGGTCCGTGCCTCAGCATTGCCAAAACTGAAAGGCCTGATGGGACATTTACAACAAAATGCTGATGAGTGGAAGCTTATCTATGACTCCACCTGGCCCCATGAGGAGGACTTCCCTGGATCTTGGAAGTTCCTTCAGGGATTGGAGAGGATGGTGATCCTACGATGTTTGCGGCCTGACAAAATGGTTCCAGCCATTCGGGAGTTCATCGCTGAGCACATGGGCAGTATATACATCGAAGCCCCTACCTTTGATCTCCAGGGGTCCTATAATGATTCCAGTTGCTGTGTGCCATTGATTTTCGTGTTGTCTCCAGGTGCAGACCCAATGGCAGGTAAGGGCACAATGTTGTGTGAAGAACATAAACACCCCAGGATGCGTGAATGGATGACAACAGCGTGTCCCTTACAGCAAGAATCTCAAACTCAAATGCTTTGAAAGGTGAACAGTTAACAGACAAGGGTGAGGCTGGGGCTGCTAAAGATTTCTTTTCCCACCTACAGGAAGCAGCTGCTCCTCAGCCCCCAAGCATTGTGCTATCTGATAATGTGAGCTCAGGAAGGCCAGATCACCTGATTTTTCAAGAGAAATCAAAATTGCAGAAATCACCCATTTTACATCTTGATATAACTCATTCAAATTCTTTCCTGAAAATTGTGAGGGCCCGACAAGGGCTAGATTTAGCCTGCTGAGTGCTAGTTTATCATCTTTGTCCTAAGTCATTTTCTCTGACTGTTTCCTCTCTTCATTAGGCTTTTCTCTTTTCTTTTAATTTTTAAATTAAAAAGTTTTTTTTAATGTTTGTTTATTTTGAGAGAGAGAGAGAGAGGAATGCCTGGGTGGCTCGATCATTTAAGGGTTTGACTTTGGCTAAGTTCATGATCTCACGGTTCTTGGGTTCGAGCCCCACATCGGTGTCTGTGCTGACAGCTCAGGGCCTGGAGCCTGCTTAGGATTCTCTCTCTCCCTGTCTTTCTGCCCATCCCTGCTTATGCTCTGTCTCTCTCTTTCTCAAAAAGATAAATAAACACTAAAAAAGAAGAAGAAGAAGAAACATAGAAAGTGAGAGAGTGCATGCCCATGCATGAGTGTAAGTCGAGGAACAGGGAGAGAGAGGGAGAAAGAGAGAATCCTAAGCAGGCTCTACGCTGTCAGCACAGAGCCCAATGTGGGGCTCAAACTCATGAACCTGTTCCGATCATGACCTGAGCAGAAATCAAGAGTCAGATGCTTAACCAACTGAACTACCAAGATGCCCCAAATTAAAAAGTTTAATGAATAACACCATGTATAACTGTGTATAGTAAAAAACAAACAAACAAACAAAACCAATGTGGAAAAATATAGGACTGTGACTCTACCAGGGCCATTTTGCCCCCTCAAGGGACATTTGGCAAAGTGGTAAAACATTTTTTGTCACAACTAGGGGGTGCTACTAGCATCTAGTAGATTGCTCCCAAGGATGATGCTAAACACCCTGCAGTGCACGGGACAGTCCCCCACCACAAAGGATTATTTGGCACAAAATGTCAGTAGTGCTGAGGTTGAAAAACCCTTGTATAGAGTGAAAAGTATATCTTCCTCCCAACCCTTCCAGAAGTAACCATTATTATCAGTTTGTGTATCTTCCCAGAAATCAGTTATTGCCTATTAACATTAATGAGTTATTGACAGAAATAGATTTGTCTTCTGTTCTGTTGGATCTCAAAACTTTCGTTTTCTCTGTGACTGAATGAAGAAAAGTACCAGAAATTCAGACGACAAGGTTGCCATTCTTTTGTGAACCCTGAGGTGTTTGACACATATCCTGACCTGGATGGAAAGCTGGCAGCTTTGCACCAGGGAGGAAGTCGAGAGAGAGGAGCTGAAATGAACTAGTTCCCTTTCCACATTCCCATACCACTATGTTATTGTCAAAGATCACTTCATGGCCCCTTTCTAGTAGCTTTGTTTTCCCCCTATGTCCTTTATGTGGCAGATTTAAGTAAGTAATGAGGCTAAACCAGGAAAGGTAAAGAAACATGGAGGAAAGGTCATAATATGGTCTGTAAAATGATGATGTATTGGCAGAGAATGGGCCAGTTATGTCCAGTGTCATGTGTTGCATATTCCTGTCTGTCTGTGCTAGAGGCCTGATCAGATTTAGCTTGGATAACTTCCCAGGAGACCTCACTGGTACTGTGTCCTTTGTAGCGCCTTACACTAGGAAGCACATACTATCTGGTTGTCTTTCCCTTTCTGATTAAGATTGATCAGTGGACTCCCCATTCTGCTTCCCTTGTAAGTTTCCCATCAGCCTCACACCTAATGTGATGGTTCTCAATCATGGCTGCACAATGGAATCACCTGGTTGGGGAGGGGAGGGGGATTTAAGAAAAATCTCCATGTGCAGGCCATGCCCTGGCCAATTAAATTAAAATCTTTGTGAATGAGGCCCAGGCATTCTGTTTTAGAAACTTTCAGGTAGGGGTGCCTGGGTGGCTTAGTTGGTAAAGCATCCAACTTTGCTCAGGTCATAATCTTGTGGTTCCTGGGTTTGAGCCCAGCCTCAGGGTCTGTGCTGACAGCTCAGAGCCTGGAGCTTGCTTCAGATTCTGTGTCTCCCTTTCTCTCTGCCCCTCCCCTGCTTGTTTGCGCTCTCGCTCACACTCTCTCTTTCTCTCTCTCTCTCTCTCTCAAAAATAAATAAACATTAAAAAAGATAAAAGAAACCTTTCAGGTAATTCCAGTATGTTTTGGAAACAACCGACCTGGTGATTTTATCAGCCTTAAAATAAAAATCATCCCCCAGATCCATTATTTTATTAAGGGCTGCAAAATGTTTTAATTCTGTCACTGTTTTTGCATTTATTTGCTGGAACTCCTCTATGAAGAGGAATTTCCTTGGTCCACTCTTTGGTTTACTCTGACTATAGCTCAAAAAGGGCCAGCAGAATAGACACTTCTTTCATTCTCTTGATTTTTCAGTCTTCGTATTAATAAATCTGTGCCCTGGTAGCCTGCAAAGTTACTTAAGCAGTAAGATTTTCTTTGTGCCATTGTGAATGCATAGATTTTAACATAGTGGGTGTTTCAAACATGGTCGCATTTTATTATTTACTATTCTTTTTTATTTGAAAATCAAAATCAGTCTCTGGCCTGTAGGGGCTCTTCGTGCCTAGTAGTTTTCACACACCCTGGTAGTTTTTTATAACATCCTTGCCTTATAGAATTAACATGTATCTGGGCTCATCTCATACAGACATTTCTCTGAGGAACTCCAGTTCTTTCAGCACAGGCCACGGGATTTGGAAACCACAATCTGTGTACTACTGCATGGATCATTGATTGCAGACCTTACTACTCACTAATTCTCTTTCTGGCTGTGTCTACCCTGTTCTTTTAATCAGTACTTTGAGGGTTTTTTTATTTTGTTTTGTTTTTTTTACAAATAGTTTATTGTCAAGTTGGATTCCATATAACACCCAGTGCTCATCCCCACAAGTCCCTTCCTCCATGCCCTTCTCCCCCCTTCCCCCCACACCCATCAGTCCTCAGTTTGTTCTCAGCTTTCAAGAGTCTCTCATGGTTTGCCTCTCTCCCTCTCCCCTACTATTTCCCCCCTTCTTCTCCCCCATGGTCCTCCGTTAAGTTCCTCCTAATCCTCCTATACGTGCAAACATATGGTATTTGTCCTTCTCTGCCTGACTTATTTCGCTCAGCATAACACCCTCAAGTTCCATCCATGTTGCTACACATGGCCAGATTTCATTCTTTCTCATTGCCATGTAGTATTCCATCGTATAGATAAACCACATCTTCTTGATCCATTCATCTGCTGATGGACACTTAGGCTCTTTCCATGTTTTGGCTATTGTTGAGAGTGCTGCTATGAACAGTACTTTGAGTTTTTATCTGCAGTGACAGTACTTTCCATTTCTAGAAGTTTTATTTTATTTGAAATTCATGTATTTCTTTTTTCATAGAACTGTGAATTTTATTATGCTTTGTGGTCCTTTAATGATTTTTAGATGTATTTCTTTCATGGCCTTTTTCAGAGATTATATTAATCTGCTAGGGCTGCTATAAACAAATATCAAAGACTCAATGGTTTAAATAAAAGAGATTTATTTCCTCTCATTTCTGGAAACTGAAAATCCAAAATCAAGGCATCAGCAGGGTTAGTTTCTTCTGAGGCCTTGGCTTGTTTGTGGCCAATTTCTCCCTGTGTCATCTTCTCCCTGTGTCTTTATATGGTCTTCTCTCTGTGAGTATGTCCATGTCTCAGTCTCCTCCTCTTATAAGGACACCAGTCCTATTGGATTAGGACCTGACCTGTTGACCTCATTTTAGCTTAATTACCTCTTTAAAGACCCCATCTCCAGATATAGCCACATTGTGAGGTCCTGGGGATTAGGGCTTTGACATATGGATTTGAAAGGGACATAATTAGGCTCATAACAGAGTTTATGTGTAATCTGTGGGGTATTAATTTTCCTGATTGTTCTATGTGCTGACTATCCCTTATAGTGGTATATTTCCTCACGTAGCTTGTAATTTTCTATTGTGAGTTCACAGTCAGCAAGCTTGTGTTCTTTTGTGGGAGTCTTCTAATACCTTGGGTTTTTAGGGGCTCTTAGGGGTACCATAACAAAACAACTTTTTATATGCAAACACTGATGCCCCAGGAGGGTTGCCATTCTAGATCAAATTTTTTAAAATTCTTTTTAAGTTTATTTATTTTGAGAGAGACAGAGACAGTGTGAGCAGGGGAGAGGCAGAGAGAGAGGGAGAGAGAAGCCCAAACAAACTCCAAACTGTCATTGCAGAGCCCAAGACAGGGCTTGAACTCAAGAAACCATGAGATCATGACCTGAGCTGAAACAAAGAGTCAGAGGCTTAACTACCTGAGCTACCCAGGTGCTCCCATTCTAGATCAATTTTATGGGAAATTTCTCAGTCTGGGAATCCTACCCACAGGGTACTATAAACCCACACCCTTCATCCACATGTGGCATAGGCTTAGTGTTTTGTTTTTTCAGTAGGGAGTTATTTTTTCCACCGAGGCTCCAGGCCAGTGATGAGCTTCTGCATTGCTTCTAGACCAGTAGCCAAAGGTGCAGCCCTTTGAAGGTCCTCATTGTCTACCGAAGTCTCAGTTCTAGCCCCCATTTCTTATGAGTGCAAGTTATGTGTCCACAATCTCCTAACATCTAGATTGGTTAAATAAAGTATGGTATATTCCAATGGTGAAATGCTATGTAACCATGAAAACCAATAAGACTTTTCTGTATGTACATGCATAACTCATTTTAATGTGCTCTACTTTATTACACTTTGCAGATGCAGTATATCTTTTTACACATTGAAGGTTTGTGACAACCCTGCATCTAACAACCTATCAGTACCAATTTTCTTATTTTTTTAAGAGGACAAATCTGCACATTTGTTTATTTGTTTTTTAAATGAAAGATTGTCTAAGGAAAGGTTTTTTTTAATGTTTACTTATTTTTGAGTGAGAGAGCACACATTGCATACGAGCAGGGGGAGGGGCAGAGAGAGAGGGAGACAGAGGATCTGAAGCAGGCTCAACATTGATAGCAGAGATTCTGATGTGGGGCTCGAACTCACAAACTGTGAGATCATGACCTGAGCCAAAGTCGGACATTGAACTGATTGAGCAACCCAGGTAGCCCTCAGTTAAGTTTAAGGAATACAGCATCACACATATTTTGTGGTCAGGTTGCTTTAAAATTTGGCACAAAACATGGCACTGCTTCCATGAGCATGAATTACTTTTCCCCAGAGTACTCTGGTTTTCTTCAGTTTGCCACCAGGAATTACTGTGTTGTTCTTTGCTTTGTACACATAAGCACATCTCTTGCGTAGATAGAATTCAGTTTTATGTTGAGCATAAACACCTTCAATTTTAAGAAGTGCCATGTGCTCCCTCTGGTTCCGAAGAAAATTGGCCTTGGACCACAGCCTTCCAGACATATTTGTTGTTTTAGAAGTCCTGTTTCCAGGCTCCAAGATGGCAGAAAGAGTATTGGTGCCATTTTTCCAACAACATTTGCTCACTTCATGTCTCTGGGTCACATTTTGGTAATTCTTGGCAATATTTCAAACTTTTCACTGTTATGTGTCATGGTGAACTGTAATCAGTGATTATAACTTACTGATGATAACATTTTTTTAGCAATAAAATATTTTCAATTAAGGTACATACATTTTTCTTTAGACATAATATTATTGCACACTTAACGGATGATATTATAGTGTAAACATAACTTTTGTATTCACTGGGAGGCCAGAAATAATCATTTGCTCATTTTATTGCACCATCACTTTATTGTGGTGGTTTGAAACCAAACCTGCAATATCTCTGAGCTATGCCTGTATTGATGTGGAAAACATCTAAGTGAAAGAAGCAAATTTAGTATTCTGCAATTCACATAATAGTATACATGCATTTAAATGGATAAAATATCTTTGGAAGGATTCACAAAAAGCTAGTAACATTGGCTGCCTCAGAGGAAGAGAGAAGTGAAAGAGACTTACTTGAAATTTCACTGTACAAGTGCCTATTTTTCTAGTAAAATACATTTGTAAAAACCCAGTTTCTAGTTCTTTGGTTGTATGCTCATCTCTCTAGTTTTGAGTTCCCTCTTCATTTTTGGCACCTGGGAATTTCTGCCTCTCAGACTCTTTTTTTTCCAGTGTGTATAATTTTTTTTTTTTTAAATCAAGAATGCCTGGGGCGCCTGGCTGGCTCAGTTGGAAGAGAATGCGGCTCTTGATCTTGGGGTTGTGAGTTCAATCTCCACACTAGGGGTAGAGATTACTTTTTAAAAACTTAAAGGGAAGCCTGGGTGGCTCATTTTGCTGGTTAAGTGTCCAACTTTGGCTCAGGTCATGATCTTGAGATTCAAGTCCTGGGTTGGACTCTGTGTTGACAGCTCAGAGCCTAGAGCCTGCTTCTCTCTCTCTCTCTCTCTCTCCCCCCCTCCCCTGCTCATGCTCTCTCTCTCCCCCTCTCTGTCTCTCAAAAATAAACACTTTTAAAAAACGTTTTTAAAAGTCTAAGTATTCAGAACAAAAGAGGAATCAATAGTAGCTTCATTCACCATAGAAGCTACTTAACCAGAAGTCTAAAGCTTCCCCATAGAGATGTTTACTTTTGTAATTGACAGAAGCCAATGAGTTTCTTTCTGAGTCCAGAATTTTGATGTAACCCTTCCTCCTGCATAGTTACTGTTAATATGGTCTTAGCTGGCCTGTCCTCTTTCAAAAGCCCCTTTTCTTCCTGGTCTCAGGCCTGTTGAAGTTTGCTGATGATCTAGGCATGGGAGGCGCCAGAACACAAACCATCTCCCTTGGCCAAGGCCAAGGCTCAATTGCTGCCAAAATGATCAACACTGCCATCAAAGATGGGACCTGGGTGGTGTTACAGAACTGCCACCTGGCCACAAGCTGGATGCCTAGTCTGGAGAAGATCTGTGAGGAGGTGATTGTTCCTGAAAGCACTAACATCAGATTCAGGTGAGGTGCTACCCCAACTACTGCCTGTTTCCAGGCCCCAAATTTGAGCTCCAGACCTCATACTGGTGGCTGGGAGTGCAAAGATGAGGAAACACAGTTTTCATCTAGCAGAAAACAGACCGCAGATGAATGTGTTGACGCCATGCAGTACCTGCTGTACTTGCTTGAATAAGACCCATGGAGCACAGAAAAGGGAAGGGAAAGTTGGGGAATGCCTAGAGGCTTAACAGTTGCCTGGGATTTTGAAAGATGATAGGAATTTCCAGGAAGGACATTCCAGGCCGAAGGGACAACATCTAAAAGCAACGATGTGTATGAGGGAAACACTGAGAAGTTATTCTGTGACTATGGGGTATATACTGAGAAGTTGTTAGGGGATGTCATAGGAGATGTGTCTGGGAAGCTACATTAAATGTCAGTGGATCTGATTTTTAAAAATTGTCATGGAAAAAACCTCACTTGTAGTGTAGGCACCAATATCCATGCCACTCTAACCTGTATTTCTTGGGCTCTGTGGAATTTTAATCAATATTGGAAACAGCTACCTGTTTTTTTGTGAACTTTAAAGCCTAGCAACATTGGGCCTCAGATTTTGCATATACAAAATGACAAGATGAGCCAGACCGACTTTATTTTTTTTTTAAATGTTTTTGTTTTTTTTGTTTTTTTTTTTTATTTCTAGGAGAGAGAGAGAGAGAGAGAGACAGCGTGAGCAGGGGAGGGTCAGAGAGAGAGGGAGTCACAGACTCTGAAAGAGGCTCCAGGCTCTGAGCTGGCAGTCAGCACAGAGCCCGACGCGGGGCTCGAACCCACGAACCGCGAGATCATGACCTAAGCAAAAGTCGGACGCTTAACTGACTAAGCCACCCAGGTGCCCCTTTTGAGTTGTTTTTTTTTTTAAATGGTTTTTGTTTGTTTGTTTTTTTGGTTTTTTGGTTTTTTTTTTGAGCCAGACAGACTTTAAAACCTTTTTCAACTCAAATGTTCTCTTATTCCAGGCAAGGGGTCAGCAAACTATGGCCTGCAGACCAAATACAGCCTGCTACCTGTTTGTATGGCTTATATGCCAGGAAGAGTTTTTACATTTTTAGATGACTGAAAAAAAAATCGAAACAACGTTTTGTACACAAGAAAACTATATGAAATTCAACTTTCAGTGTCCATAAATAAAGTTTTATTGAAATACAGCCATGCTTATTCATATCCTATCTCTGATTGCTTTCACAACATAAGTAGTTGTAACCAAGACCATATGGCCTGCAGAGCATAAAAATTTACTCTTTGATCTTTTATAGGAAAGGTTTGCCAACTCCTGTTCTAGGCCACAAAGCTTGCTGGTTATTTTCTTTCTTTCTTTAATGTTTGTTTATTTTTGAGAGAGAGAGAGAGAGGGAGACACAGAATCCTAAGCAGGCTCCAGGCTCTGAGCTATCAGCAGAGCCCAACATGGGGCTCAAACTCACAAGCCATGAGATCATGACCTGAGCCAAAGTTGGACACTTAACCCACTGAGCCACCCAGGTGCCCCTGGTTATTTTCATCTTAGTCATGTTTGCTTGAAAATAGGAAAGTGTTTGGTGTTTATTTGTAAAGCCAGATTAGGCCCTGGTTTGTTATATTCATGTAAGACTCCTATAAAATTCATAGAAGATTTTAAGGGGAATCCATTAGTTTGAAGAATTCTGTTTGGCTTAGGATGGTGACTTGATTAATTACCATCAATGATACCCTCAATGAACAAAAAATTATGCTGATATTAAGATCTTCTAACCTTGGTCCTAACCCAAAAGTTATTACCCCAAGTGCCTACAGGAGCCAGGAATAACATATATGAGTGAAGAGGACTGGCCACAGGAGATATTCCAGTTCCCACAGTATAGTAGCAGTCGTCATGGGCAGTCAGCCTCGGTGTTGGACATCAACAGAGAGTGGTGGGGACTGCAGTGAACTAGAGGCCCATGCCTTTTAGAGAAGAGTGGTGACTGCCTAATACCATGTGCCTATTGCCATACAGGAATGTGGGCCCCTCGTGATCAGATTTTCTCATTATTAAAGGGAAGATGGGAATCTAGAATTTTAAAAGAAAGCCCTAGTTTTTTAAAAGTTGGCAACTACTTCAAAACTATGTTATAGCATTGTGTTGGTTTGCTTGGTATGAGCTAAATATCAGCTAACTGCAGCCTGAAGTCAGGCCTCAAGCTACCTGTTTATGGCCTCTTCCCTTCGCTCCTGGCAACTCCTGGGTTGCCAGGTATAGTATCCCACCATAGTAGATTCTCAGGTAGTCTAGCAGGGGAGAGATATGGTGTGGTGTTTAAGACAGGGCCTTTGGAGTCAAGGAGCCCTGAGTTCACATCCCATTTCAGTTGCTTCTAAGTGGTTTGTTCTTGAAAAACCCACTTGATGTCTGCATGCTTCTATTTCCTCACTGGTATAAGGGGATAGCTAATCCCTTCACAAAGGGTGGCTGAGAGTATTCAAGTGAAGGAAGGAACATATATTAAATTCTTAGCATGGGGTTTGGCATTCAGTAGTGCTTAATAAATGGTGGCTATTATTTTTTTGTTACTGTTTTTCAATATAACTTACTGCATTGCTCTAAATAGTTAGATCTTTTCTTCTTCCAGACTCTGGTTAACCAGCTATCCATCAGAGAAATTTCCAGTCAGCATCCTCCAAAATGGGATCAAAATGACCAATGAGCCCCCCAAAGGGCTGCGGGCCAACCTGTTGCGCTCCTACCTCAATGACCCCATCTCAGACCCCGTGTTTTTCCAAAGCTGTACAAAGGCAGTCATATGGCAGAAGCTATTGTTTGGGCTATGTTTCTTCCATGCCATTGTTCAAGAAAGGAGAAACTTTGGACCCTTAGGTAAGATATGACTTACCTGGACTCCTGGGGCACAAATCACAGACAAATGCAAGTGTGTGTGCAAGTTTGTTCTCAGATAAGGTTGCCAGTAAAATACTGTATAAGTATATTCCATATAATATTTTGGACATACTTAGACTAAACATGATTTGTTTATCTGAAATTAAAAATTCACTGTCTTGTATTTTTATTTGATAAATCTGAAAACCCTATAATCAGGTCACTACCAACGTCAGGTAAAGAAGTGATGCTCCAAAATTAGAGGTCTCCTAATTATTGAAGTAATATGTTAATGAGAAATTGTAAGCCCTTCCCTTTGGTGAGTATTTGCCTATCTTAGGTACAATGACCATTTTCCAGGGAGTTGTCATCAGGTGATTTATGACATTTTGAGTAGTTCTCTAAATATGTGCATAACAATGAAGGAGGTACAACTGGGACATTTGTCTGTACTTCTTGAAAAACTAAAAATAAATTTCATTATTAACATAACCTGTCCATGGCCTAACTTAATACTCTATCTTAATGCTCTTGTTAGAGCAGAACATCCAGCTGCTAAATACAGATTCCATATCCACATGCTTTAAAGGTTGGGCTGCCTGTGATTTTATTCAGTAGTCTTGAAATGGCCCAAGGCAATGCATTTTCAGCTGTTGTTTTGGCTTAAATATGGAGGCAAACTGTACTCTTGGAGATTTCTCTCTGAGCATCTTCCTCCTTTCCTTCTCCCACCACCCACAGCCCCTGTTAGCCTCACAGACCACCTGACCTTTCCACTGAGGGGTACGGGGATGGCACAGCCTGGGGTGGACACTCCCTCTGCATCTGTGTTTCATATACCACATTCTCCCACCACTATTCTCCCACCCATGCCAGATCTCCAAAAATCCATGTAAAAGTTTGACTTGCAGCCAACTGGCCCATTGTGTTTTGTTTGCCAGCACACGAATTTTTTATTTTGCTAAATTTTTTATTTGAATGTAAATGTTCAGGAGGAAAGTAAATGTCCCTGTTGAGCACAGATCCCACTGAACCCTGCCGTCTTACCGTCTTACACCGTACCCAGTTAGTTCACACATTTATGTCACTTCCCAGCCCCACTGGGCATGTATCATAATACCCTTGAAAATACAAGTGATAGTTTTTTCAAGGCCGGCCATCCCATTTTCCCATGAGCACGAGGAGGGGAATTCTCCAAGCTGACTTATTTCTGTTGCCTAATCATAGATACTGCTCTCTAGCTATGCTTTAGTGTTATTTTTGGAACCCTGTGCATTACCACAGTATTCCAGCCAGGGTGAATTATTCTCATTCCACAAATCCCAGGATATTAACATCTACCTTAACAAATGGGGAGATCCATAAGGAAATTGATTTTAGAATGGATGTTTTCTCAGGCAGAATGGCTCCCACATTGGCAGTAAATGTCAAGGCTAATAGTTGGCCTGGTGCTTGATATTCATGGGGCTGAAAGAGGCTCCTGCTCCATAATGATGCTTAACTCTACAGCTCAGTGTCTGAGTGGGAATTATGAGCTCTTGGCACTGAAGTCTCTAATTCTTCTGTGCTTTGTTCAGGCTGGAATATTCCTTATGAATTCAATGAATCTGACCTGCGGATTAGTATGCGGCAGATCCAGATGTTTTTGAACGACTACAAGGAGGTGCCATTTGAGGCTCTGACTTACCTGACAGGTATTTCTGGGAGGAGGCTTTGCAGTTATAAATGTCCAGTATCATACTCCACCCTTCTGCTCTTCTGGTCCCACCTCCATTCATTTACTTACTCAATCATTCTTTCAACAAACATTGAACTCTTACTAATGCTGGTCACCATGAGAGATACTGTAAAAAACGAACATACAATTCTTACCTTCAAGTGGCTCATAGTCCACAAAATAAAATATATATAAAAAGAAATAAATGACAATACAGTCTTAAGTTCAACAAGAGAAACATTTATAAAGTCGAAAGGCAATGCAATGATTAAATCTCAGGGATGGGGTAGGGGATGAGCATAGAAAACTTTCTGAAGACATGAAGGATGGGTTTTGAGGGATGAAGGAGTTTTACAAGCGGAAGGAGAAAGCAAGGTAGGGAGAAGGAAGAAGGAGAGCATTCCCAGCAGAGGTACCCCGAAGTGAAAACAGCACTTGCTGTTTTATATTAAAGCAGTCTACAGCGACCTTTTATTAGTCACCTACTAATAAATTTATTATTTATTTATTAGTCACCCACTATATTATTTACTAGTGCATAATATAGAAGAATGTAAATGGATAGAACTTGGCTGCTTCCCTCATGGAATACATCAGGTAGGCCCAGGGATAGAAGATAAAATATAGACAAGAAAAGTGAGTGGAATACCATGGCCAAAGGTCAGAATGCAGCACAGGTGGAAAACCCTGCATCTTCAAGATTACACACAAGTTCCTTCCTCAGCTCCATATGTTAAAGAGTTTCTGTGGACCCTTTCCCCGATTGTGCGGCAGATGCTCCGTATATACACAATCATCGCTTTGAGTCTTCACAGTAACCTTATGAGCTTCATGTTAGTGACCTCATTTTAGAGCCAATGAGACTCATGCCTTAGAGCAATGGTTCTCAACAAAGGGAAGTTCTCCCCCTCCCAATGGACATTTGGCAATGTCTGGAGACATTTTTGCTTGTCACCACTAAATAGGATGCTACTGGGTAGAGGCCAGTGTTGCTGCTAAACATCCCACAATGCATAGGACAGTCCCCACCACACAGAACTATCCAGTGCAACATGTTAATACTGCTAAGATTGAGAAATCGTGCTTCAGAGTGATTAAGTTCAGTTGTAAAAGATCACATAGACCTTACTTAAGTCAGCACACTGTCCCCTAAAACAAAACCCAAGTGACGCGTACAACATAAGCTCAGTGGATATTAGTTTGACGAAAGAACTTCTCTAAAGAGGTGAGTCATTTTCCCATCATTTCAGGTCATGCAGAAGCACATGCTAGAGCTGTTCTTCAGAATGTGGAATGAGTGCATACTTGCTCTGGGATATGGTCTTAGTATCGGACTGCCTGCAGCTCATAAAGCAACCTGCCCTGACCGTGTCAGCCAGCTGGAGGAGACTCACTTCTCACCTAGACTGGTCAGGATAGGCTAAGTAGGCCAAGATAATCAACAATCCCCGCATCTCAGGAGTGTAAGACATCTCAAGGTCCACTTCTCGCCCACTCTACATGTCCGGGGTGAAATGGCAGGTGTCTGTGCTCACTGATTATCTGTCAGCTGGCAGAAGCTCCACTGACTTTTGAGGTCACATCTCAGCACATACTTGTGTGGTCACTGCCACAGGAATAGCACTGAAGCGCTCATGCCAGGAATTAAATGCACAAGAAGTTGTCTCCCACACCCATCCCCCTGCAAGGGACCCAGAGAAGTGTAACCCACCTATGTGCCTAGAAGGAAAGGAGAACGAGATGTGGATGATTGTTAGAACTCTGTACTGACACTAAACCAAAGAGATAGGTCTCAGTTTAACAGTGGTTATCACATTTGATGGGCCGAAGTCAGTACATTCTTAATCTGATACCCCCAGCCCTTTGGCAGAGAGTGGAGACCTTAGAAGAGACAAAAGCAAGGGCACCCTGAGTGGCTCATTTGGTTAAGCTTCTGACTTCATCTTAGGTCATGATCTCACGGTTCCTGAGTTCAGGCCCCACATAGTGCTCTCTGCTATCAGCGCAGAGCCTGCCTTGGATCTTTTGTCCAACCCCAGCCCCCACCCCCAATCTCCGTCTCTGCCCCTCCCCCACATAAGTGCCTGCTTCCCCTCTCTCTGTCTCTCTCCCTCTCTCTCCCTCTCAAAAATAAACAAACATTAGGGGCACCTTGGTGGCTCAGCCAGTTAACCGTCTGACTTCAGGTTAGGTCATGATCTCAGGGTTCATGGGTTCAAGCCCTATGTTGGGCTCTGTGCTTACAGATGGGAGCCTGCTTCGGATGTGTGTCTCCTTCTCTCTCTGGCCCTCCTGCTCATGCTCTCTCTCTCTTTCTCCCTCTCTCTCTTTCTCTCAAAAATAAACATTAAAAAATGTTTTTAAATAGTTGGGCTCCTTTAAAAATAATTTAAAAATTAAAAAATAAACATTAAAAAAGAAAAAGAGACAAAAGCACATCCTGGTTCCCTCTTGACACCAGAATAGACATACAAGTAGCTATAAAGAAATTCATCTTCCTTCACAAACATAAAACCCAAAGCCTGCAAGGGGATCCTTTGGAGGAAAATTTGCTGACGAGGCAGTGGTGGCAGGACCTTACACTATGACTTTGTGCCTGAGATCTACCTTCACTTGGGTTCCCTTTTGGGTGCCCTTAAGCTCTGCCATGCTGACTTCAGTGAGGGAAACCCACAGTCCCTTTGATGTCATATATTTTATTTAATATAGTGCTATCAAAAACTTTTTATAGCTGAGGCCAGCTATCATGTTCAAATTGAACTTTGCTAAAAGCCTGGAAAAGTCCATAGAGAAAGCCTCAAAGAGGCACCTGGGTCAGTTGAGCGTCCGACTTCGGTTTAGGTCATGATCTCATGGTTCGTGGGTTCAAGCCCTGCATCGGGCTCTGTGCTGACAGCCAGAGCCTGGAGCCTGCTTCAGATTCTGTGTGTCTCTCTTTCTCTCCCCTCCCCGCCCCCAGCCCTCGGCTCATGCTCTGTCTCTGTCTCTGAAAAATAAGTAAACATTAAAAAAATTTTTCAAAAGAAAGCCTCAGAAATCTAGATGCTCTGGCTTAGGATAAAACAGCATCTGCAGGGCTCAAATTACTCAAAAGGTAAGTAGACCCTTACTCTTCCCTTAATGAGCCATATCCTCCTCCTTCAAATTTAGACCCCTCCAAGACCAAGAGAAGCTGAAGCCTCCTGCCCCCACCTTGGGCCATACTTCCTGTTTCTTGTCTGTAGACCTGTGTCTTCCTGGAATGGTTGAAATTGGAAATGAGCCCATCCTTCATACACACGTAAACACGCAATGTGTTTCCTCCTTGAAGACTAGTGTGTTGTCCATAACTACTAAATACCAGGTGGCACCCACATATTATGGAATCTAGACCAGCCAGAAAATGCGTCATGGGCTTGGCGAGATGGATTTGATGTGGCTTCCAAAGAATTACCTAACTATTTTTGTAGAAATCTGAGTGTAGAAACCTGGGTCTTAGAGAATGATATTCATGATGGGGGTGGAGTATCCCAAAGCAGTATGTATGGGATAATCACAATTTTGTAATAGCTGTAATAAATTGAATGCTTTCTGTGTGCTAAGTATTGTGCTAAGTGTTTTATAAGCATTATTAACCACAACCTTGCAAGATGGGTACTGCAATTATCTCCACGTCTTGGATGAAAAGCTGCTGGAATTGGAACCCAGGACAGTCTCATGCCAAAGTGCTTGCCCTGAACCACCTTTATGTAATGCCTTTCACATATGTATGTACATACACATACACACACACACACAAACACACACACACACACACACACACACACACAAAGAAGATGCCTAAAGGTTCACAGCTACCTTTGGTGGAATTATTGGTGATTGTATTGTTTTTTTCTTTCAGCTTATTTTTACTTCCTAATTTCTAATATGGTGAACATGTCCTATTTTTGTAGCAAACATAATAACAAAAAGACCTGGCCTCATCCCAAGGTGAGCATTGGTTTTAGCAACCCTGCATCTCAGCAGAGTTCCTTGGTTGGAAGAATCCTCTGTTTTAGATTAATGACCAAGTTCATTATGACTTTCCTTGGGCTCAACTCCTTCCTGTTGGTTGTCTGCAGGGGAATGTAATTACGGGGGCAGAGTGACTGATGACAAAGACAGGCGTCTTCTGCTATCCCTTCTGTCCACATTCTACTGTAAGGAAATCGAGCAGGACCATTACTCCCTCGCTCCTGGAGACATTTACTACATCCCTCCTCATGGCTCTTACCAGGTGAGAGGCTTGGCAGTCTCCATGTGGCTACGGGCTGCTGTGTAGTCAAGGAGAGCCACAGGTAGCTATGGGCTTCCTGACTTGGTCCATAAGCCATTTCTAATATTCCAAAAAGCCTCTAAGAGAGACATTATTACTGTTGAATGAAAACTGGGTATTTGATAGACAAGATCTTTTCAAACTGTGGGGTCCATCTTGGGGGATTAAGGGAAAGGATGGTTAAAATGAAGACTTGGTAGTAAACAAGTTGCAAATTGCTACTTGAAAACAAAGGTTCAGAAAGTGACTAAAAGGAAGGACAGAAAAACTGGATGGGAGAATGAGAACAGGAAGAAGAAAACAGGAAGAATAAAGCCCTGAAGAGGGCTTTATTTTACTCAGCACCTGTTATATGCCAAGGTCTATCCTTTGTAACCTCACTTATCTTCCCATTTACAGATATGGAAGCTGGGGATCAAGGCTACACAGTTAGTTTTCAATAGAGCTAGAATCCAAACCCAGTTCAGTCTGACTGCAAAGCCAGAACTGCAGGGGGAACAGGGAGAAGCTAGGGGTGGGAGGTGGTATACTCTGCCTTTATACTCACTCCCCAGAAGACTGTAAGAGGAAGAGCTTGGAGTGTCTTCACCCTCTTTGTGTGTGTGTGTGTGTATGTGTGTGGTGTGTGGGGTGGTAGGGTGATAAGTAGGTATGGCCTCTGCTAACAATCCAATGTGGTTCTTGGGTTAGGTCCAGCCAAGCCCTGATTGATCTCTAGGACTCCAGGGGACCTGGGTTTGTGTCAACTGAACATTTCCTTTCCAGTCCTATATCGAGTATCTTAGGAACCTGCCCATCACAGCCCACCCAGAAGTCTTTGGCCTCCATGAGAATGCTGACATCACCAAGGACAACCAGGAAACCAACCAGCTGTTTCAAGGGGTGCTGCTGACCCTCCCTAGGCAGTCAGGAGGGAGTGGCAAGTCTCCTCAGGTAACTGAGCTTGGACAGGATACAAAATTCCATTTCCCAGGCAGTTGTCCATCTGGTGGTCATGCAGGGTTGTGGATGATGACCTAGGATACCGAAGATTGGAGGCCTGGCAGACCCCACAGGGCATAGGTGCTCGGTCTTCCTGCTGAAAGTCCTTAAATACAGAGCTGGGAGAGCAACAGTGTTTCCACATCGTCAGCTGCTCCTATATAACCCTCTGGAATTGTTGCTATACCCATATATCATCTATACTACATTTATCTAATATTTAAAACTAAATCTCTTTTGCTTAAAAACATTTCTTTTAAAAACTACATATCATGCAACTCTTGATCTAGGGGGCATGAGTTCCAGCCTTACACTGAGTGTAGAGATTACTTAAAAAATAAAATACTAAAAAAAAAAAAAAAAACCCTTTCACATCATTACCATAAATGGAAATCCAATGTCATTTCCATAAAGTCATGACAGCCACAAAAGAAAATGAAAGCTAAACGGTTATTAGGTTCTTCACAAATGATGTTGCTGAGGCCCTGCTGGCTTCTTGTGTAAAGAGGAAGATCAGCCAGTGTTATAGAGCATTTAGTTAGCACTGATCTGAGACTTTGTCCTTGAGAATAATGAAAAGAGAACGATGGCTGAAACTTGAAAAGAGAGTGACTTTCTCACCATGTGATTCAACATGATTTGCTCCATGTCCTGGAAACACCTAGAATCATTTTAGGTGCCTCTCACAGTTCATGCTTTATGAGGCACAGACCTGGTCCACCATCCTCAATCTACAGATGGGCGTGAAATGAGCCCAGTGAGAGGAAGAGACCTGCTTCAAAGCATTCATCAACTCAGAGGCAGAGTCAGATCCAGGACCACCATCTCCTGACTCCACCACACTCTCTTCTTTCCTATCCTTCCCTTCTCCACCTTCTGAGCTACTCCATGTTCAAGTCCTCTCAGCTGTGGATTTCTCTTGATTTGGTTCATAGTGCCATAAATGATAATAGGTGTGAAGATAGAACAGCCTGCTTGGTCTCAGTTTAGGGATGGAAATTCCCCTGACAGTGGGAAGAGGGAAGGAAGTGTGTGTTCCAAGCCTCTCAGATCCACAGGATGGCAGAGCTGTGTGTCTCTCTCACACCCAAGTCCTACTTCTTGTTCCTCTAGGCCTGTCCACTCCCCTATTTGGTCAACCCTGTTGCCCAGGGCTATTCTTGTTCAATGCTGAGGAATGGCTTACCACCTTCCCAGGTGTCCTGTCCAGTCACTGGCACACCAAGCAAGAGTCCCATCTGTACCAAGAACTGGTTCTGAGGGGCTGGCTGAAAGAGCTGTGAGAAATGGTCTCCTAGGAGGAGTTTGGATGGGTTCAGCACTGCCCTGAGGCTACCTGCTGAGCCCTCAGACCCTTGCTTCAGGTGTGAGAATAGGGCTCTCACTGCTTTGCTTTTTCACTTTCTGGGCCAAGAGGTGATGCCCTCCAGAAGACTGGTAGAAAAGTGAGTGACCTCCTTTCCCCCAGGCAGAATTGGCCTCTGTAGGAGAGTTCACAGGAAGGTCCTGTAGGCTGATTAAAAAGACCAATGCTCACTGCTTCAGGTTTACCCAAATAAAGTCACAGTGCACAGGCCTGGTTTCTCATTCACCTCTCTACTGTCTGTACTTTAAGGAAGTCATTGAGGACCTGGCCCAGGACATACTCTCCAAGCTTCCAGATGACTTTGACCTGGAAGTGGTTGTGAAGTTGTACCCTGTGGTCTATGAGGAATCCATGAACACCGTCCTAAGGCAGGAGCTCATCAGATTCAACAGGTGGGCTGGATGGTCTTACTTGGATTGTTGGAGTGGGAATGTAGGGGTACGATCTCATGGGTAGTAACTGACATGTACACTTGATAAGGGTTGCCGTGCAGAGGAAGTGGTTGGCCCCACCCATGGGGAGGGCTATAAATAGGACCATTCCAGCATGTATTGACCCAGGGTTAACTCAATTTTTCTATTCATTCTCTTCCACTCATTGATAGAACACCTGTAAAGTCAGGTTAAAACCAATACCAAGCAGACTCATAGTAAAAGTAATTCTTAGGGCCACTTTTCTTGAGCCCTTAGTGCTGGGTGTGGGTCCAAGAACCATGCATGTGTTTGCATTCAAACCATTTAATAGTCTAATAAAATATGCACAGTTAATAATCCCTCTGCCACCATTTTACAGGTGATAAAATAGACCCAGAAAAGTTAAGTAACTTGCACATACAGTCATTCAGTGACAGAACTGAGTTTGAACCCAGGCTGTCTGATTCCAAAGCCCATACACTTAGCCAATATGTGAAATCAGGGCAAATAAAGAAAAGGGTGTGATGGGCTGCCCATGGGGAGAAGGGTCTCAGGCCCTCTTCACTTCTCTAATTACTACAGCATAGAGCCCAATAGATCATCTTGACTTGACTTCTAAACAAAACTGAAAGAGTTCTCAAAGACCATCTGTACCAAATGAGAAAACTCATTACTTCTGTCTTCAAGTCTAAGGTTCTCACTGCTCCCAGCTCTCCGTTACTGTCTCCATTTTGCCTCATTGGTTATTGCTTAGTTTTAGAGACATCCTCACTTTGAAGTAGTAGAGAACTGGAAGAAAGTCATCTAAATATTCCTTGCCTTCTCAGTTTTAGGATTAGAGTTAACTCTAGAGTCAATAGGCAGTTGACCAATTGGGGAAACAAAGCAAAGTATGGGGTGTGAGCTAAGGATGCAGTAGTATTGCTGTGATTCAGATACTTTGGCATGATGGGATGTAGTTGTCATTCATCCAGATACCAAGCCTAGTGGCTTCCCTCTTCTGCCACCCATCCTCTCCTAAGGTCACTGGAGCTCTTCCTTGGTGGTTGCAGGGGCCATCACTAGCCTTTACTAGTCATTTGTACACTGGTCATTGTAATAGGAGAGAACAGGGCAACAGCAATCTTATTTTCCAGTGACGGTCAGGATTAATCACATTGAGTAATCCACTCCCACATCCTCACCAATTACCTTTTTTTGGCCTGTTCACCATGTGGTATGAGAAGCCCAAAATGATTAAGTGACAGTTCAGTTTCCAATTCAGGGGACTCATTATTGTGTCTTCTGAGGCAAGTGTTCCTTCCTAAAACCTTGAAACTAGCAGAGCTCATAGTTACAAAAATAGAAAAACTTCTTGCAAGTAAGTCTTTAGGTGTAATAGCCAAAGGTCTGTGGAATAATCCCTCAGGCAGTAACTTTGCCCCTTGACTCCTCAGCCAACCACATGAACCAAATGTCTGACCCTCTTAATATGAATTAAATTCCTCTTAATGTGAATATTTAGTGATTACACACCCAGGAATCTGTTTCTTGCATATGATCATTCTCATATCCATTTGGCTGGGATTCCAAAAATCGCTGGAGATGACAAGTTATTTCTGGTGGCATATTCTTTGGCACTCTCAGGTGAATTCCCTCTGGGCTTGGCTATGCCTCATAACATAGAGGCCAGAGACAAAGGCAGGCCAACTTGGCATCTCCCAGGCTGCCTTTTCTCAGGCAAGGACCTCATAATCCATAAAAAGAACTTTGGCAATATGGATCAAACCCTTCAAATTATATTACCTGTTACCTAGAAATTCTACCTTTCACAGGAAAACCATTATTATAAGTTTCCACAAAGATTGATATGGATGGATGTTCCTAGCAATGTTATTTGCAGTGACAACAAACCTAGAAATAACATGTTTCAGCAATAAGAAAGTTGTTAAATAAAATGAAATACATTGTAGTCATTTAAAAAGGATGATTTATGTCTCTATTGAATTGGAAAGATGCTCCCTACATGCTAAGAGAGAAACAGATTACAAAAAAGTAATATAGTTAATACCATTTAAAAATAACTTATGTTTATGTATAGAAAATTTTGGAAAGATAAACATCAAAGTTATCTTTAGGTAGTGAGATACCAGGTGATTTCATTTTTTTCTCATCTTTATAATTTTTCTATCATGAATGTTTATTACTTGTCTGACCCTTGAAAGAGGGGAAAAGTGAAAGGAGACCTGAGTCAGTGTACTTGGGTAAGGTAAAGCTAGAGAGCCTGGCTGAGCCAGCTCCTTTGTTCTTGCAGACTGACCAAGGTGGTTCGCAGAAGCCTCATTGATCTTGGCCGAGCCATCAAAGGGCAGGTCCTGATGTCCTCAGAGCTGGAGGATGTCTTCAGTAGCATGATCGTGGGTAAAGTGCCAGCCATGTGGATGGCCAAGTCCTACCCATCCCTAAAGCCCCTGGGGGGCTATGTGGCTGACCTGCTGGCCCGCCTGGCCTTCTTCCAGGTACCTGGGAGGTACTCAGGGTAGCTGAGTACCTGGCGTGCTCATTCAGGTGGAGAGGACATTCTAGAAACAGTCTTGCCAGAGTTAAGGGTGGGAGGGAGACTTTTTAAAGGCTTTGAAAAGATAATAGCCTATAGAGGCAGGAGTAGGAACTAGAATGTCACAAACTGGTGGTTCATGGGCCAGATTTGACTAATAGATATATTTGGTTTGGCTGCCTGGTAATTTAAAAAAAAATTTTTTTTTAGTTTACTTATTTTGAGCAAGAGAGAGTGTGCATGTGTGAACATGAGCAGGGGAGGGGCAGAGAAAGAGAGAGGGATAGAGAGAATCCCAAGGAGTCTCCATGCTCAACGCAGAGCCTGATGCAGGGCTTGATCCCGTGACTATGAGATCATGACCTGAGCTAAAATCAAGAATCAGACATTGAACTGAGCCACCCAGGTGCCCCTAATTTAAATTTTTTTGTGTTAGCATGTAAACATTGAATTATTACACATAAAAATCCAAATGTTCGTCCTGCAAAAAAAGGAAGAGTTGAAACAATGGGGCTGCATTCCTGCATGGCAACTTCAGATGAGTGGCTGTTGCTCAGTTTAGATAAGGCACGTAGTTTCCAACATTACAGCCCCTGCCAGTCTCTATTATAACCCTGACACCAGGTTGTACCTGTGCTCTTCTTAAAGTAGAAATATGTAACTTTGTACTTTCATTTCAGTGGTGGGGGGAAAAGTGGGAAAATATAAACTAAACCTAGAGGTCTGCCTATTTTAAGAAAAATGAGGGGAAAAAACCCATCTTTCTTAATAGGACTCATTAACATTACCTGCCTTTGAACTATTTTTGATGTGCTATTGATTTTGAATTTTTATTTCTGTGACTCTCCAGGAGTGGATTGACCATGGGCCCCCTGTGGTCTTTTGGATCTCTGGATTTTACTTCACACAGTCTTTTTTGACTGGTGTTTCTCAGAATTATGCCCGGAAATACACCATCCCCATTGACCACATCGGATTTGAGTTTGAGGTAGATGTGCTTTGGCTTAGGCCAGCTCAAGGGATCAGCCAAAGAAAGCAATGTTGCCTGTTTCTTAATGAGTCCAAACATTTAGATGTGTTAAGGCCCAAATGCTTCTGAGATGGAACAGTGAAATATGACTTAAAAATAGCTTCAAAAGTTATTCCAGACAGAATCAGAACTCCCAAGGCTTTGTCGCTGTATATATATAAGGAATCTTTCTAGAGGAAAACTCTGCCACCATTATACCAAGAAAAATTAAAGCATCCTCCCCTATTGTTTATTCAACATGGTGGACTCTTCATATGGAAAGATGTTAATGGTTTTGGGTAGTGCTTTGCTTAGAGTGAAGTCAAAGAAATGGCCAGTAGTCAAGTATCACCTTTGTCCATATATGGAGAGAAAGGGGTAAGATCATCTTGTCCAGAGGTTGCAGACTAGTTGCTAGGTCTTAATTTAGTTTATGAATAAACTTGATAATCTTTGAAGGCAACATGAAGCTGAAATAAATGCAATAATGTAATAAAATAACTAGGATAAATATTGGAAAATTGATAAATCCATATTTTTTGATGTTGAAATTATTGTGTACCTAGAAACTCTAAAGACTCAAACTACACCTATCAGAATACTCATAGGCAATAGGTATCAGAATACTGATATGGTGATTGAATACTAGGGATACTGGTTAAATATACAAAAATCAATAGCCTTTTCCTATTCTAGCAATAAGTACTTAGAAGTAAAAATAAGAAAAATATTCTATTCATAGTAACAAAAAGATTAGAATTTGAATGATTTTATTTTTTTTTAATTTTTAAAAAATGTTTTATTTATTTCTGAGAGAGACAGCGTGAGCAGGAGAGGGTCAGAGAGAGAGGGAGACACAGAATCTGAAACAGGCTCTAGGCTCTGACCTAGCTGTCAGCACAGAGCCCAACACAGGGCTCGAGTCCACAAACTGTGAGATCATGACCTGAGCCAAAGTCGGACGCTTAACTGACTGAGCCACCCAGGTGCCCCTAGAATTTGAATGATTTTTTTTTTAATTTTTTTTTAATGTTTTTTATTTATTTCTAGGAGAGAGAGAGAGAGAGAGAGAGACAGCATCAACAGGGGAGGGTCAGAGAGAGAGGGAGTCACAGACTCTGAAAGAGGCTCCAGGCTCTGAGCTGGCAGTCAGCACAGAGCCCGACGCGGGGCTCGAACCCACGAACCGTGAGATCATGACCTGAGTGAAAGCCGGACACTTAACCGACTAAGCCACCCGGGTGCCCCAGAATTTGAATGATTTTAAATGAAGCTTGTCTTCTCTGGTTTACCATAAACCCCACTGCTCCTTCTTCTTCTGGAAGAAGGTCCACACCTGGACCTTTTTCTGCACTCACCTTAAGGAATTTGACTTAACTAGCTCTGACTCTAAACAGTGGTGTGCTGGAGCTAGCTCATATCAATTCACCAGAACCAGTTGCATCTGGTTATTACATAGTTAATACCCTGAAACATCTACACAATAGAAACTGACAAAAAGCACAAATTAAGGCTTTATATCTCCCTGGCAGACAACTGTTTTACCAGTATGCATCTGAGTCTAACCTTTCACTTTATGTATCCAGGTCCAGAAAGAGGAAGGATTGTGCAAGGTCACCAAGCTAGTTACAGTTAAGGTAGCCCCCTGGCTCCTACTTTAGTGCATTCTTTATGCCTACCATATATGAGGGCAGCATGCTGGCTAGGAATCAGACCTGGTTCATTTGTGAAGACAGGAGTATTATCACAGAAGCCACAGTGTCCTGGGAATTGTATATTGGGAAAGGCAGACATTGCAGCAGATTTTGTAATCTCTTAATGCTGCCCCATTTAGGGAAATTGCAGGTAATGGAACTTACACCTCCCTCTTTTCCAGGTAACCACACGAGAAACAGTCATGGAGAGTAACCCAGAAGATGGGGCCTACATAAAAGGACTCTTCTTAGAAGGTGCCCGCTGGGACAGGAAAACCATGCAGATCGAGGAGTCTTTCCCCAAAATTCTCTATGATCCTTTGCCCATTATTTGGCTGAAACCTGGGGAAAGTGCAATATTTCTTCATCAGAACATTTATGTGTGTCCAGTCTACAAAACAAGTGCCAGAAGAGGCATCCTCTCCACCACAGGCCACTCTACCAACTATGTCCTCTCCATTGAACTCCCAACAGACAGGCCCCAGAAGCATTGGATAAACCGAGGGGTAGCCTCTTTGTGCCAGCTGGATAATTGATGGCATCCATCTCAATGCAGAAAATAAAAGGCATCTCATTCTCAACCATAACCTAGCTTTCCTTATGAAGAGACACATGGTATGAGGATGATGGCGGCAGTTATATTAATAGAGCACGTGCTACAAGCCAGTATTTCAGAGCAGCCCTATAAAGTAGGTTATTATTATCCTTATTTTATGATCACAGAAACCATGATACAGAGAAGGTAAGTAAGATCTCCCAAATCAGACAGCTACTAAAATAGTGGAGCCTGGATTTGAACACAGACACTGGAATTCTTCAACCTAGACCTTTAGCCATTTGGCTAAACTCCTTTGTGTTTTATTTCCTGTTGTTTTGCTGTAACTGCCACTGAACTTTAATTGCTTCTTTCCTAGTCTGTTTAAATGCACTAACATCAGAGTCTATCAGGTTCAAAGAGGCTTGAGCCACTGTGCTGACAGCTCAGAGCCTGGAGCCTGCTTCGGATTCTGTGTCTCCCTCTCTCTCTGCCCCCCCCCCCTCACTCTCTCAAAACTAGTGATAATAATAATAACATTAAAATAAAACAACTAGCTCAAGGTTCCACAGCTCATCTCATCTGGGTAGAAGTAGAACCCAAATACTTCTCTACTAGCCTGCAACAAATGGGCAGAAATTTCAGGAAGAAAGGGGATATAAAAGAACCAGTATTTGTTGCATGCCTACTGTGTGCCACAGGTTGTGGCCTGGTCCTTTAGATATCTTGCGTTTTCCTCTGTGGTGGGTACCATTGCCTCTCCCTCTGGATGTTTAGGGATATTATGTAACTTGCGTAAGATCACCCAGCTCTTGGACATTGCAGAGCTAAGGTCTGTCTGGCTCTAGAACCCATGCATTTTTCACTGCCACATGTTGCCTCCCTGCCAATGACTTGGCTATGTTATGATGAAGAATCTTAAAAGTGTAGCTCCAACAACCATGTCCAAAAAATTTCTAGTTTATCACTGCTTTCCCCCAGAGCCAGCTAAAAGAGAATCCCAAGGAATATAAAAATCAAATTCTTGATCTACTATTTCTCAATTAACTCTTTAATTTAGCTCTTTGGCTCTAAGTGACTTCTTTCATGGCATTCCAGTGGTCAGTTTATAGTTGAGCAAAGACATAAGGCTGTTTGAGAGTCTTAATGCGTCTGTTGGTTTCTCTGCCTCTTCTCTAGAAGAAATGTCCTCAGGGTTTTTTATTTTTCCTGAATATGGGAAACTTCTGAGAACCAAACAAACATATTCCAGAAACCTCTTCATGGAAACATGGAATTGATAAAATTCTGACTAAGAACCCTAAATTTGGGGTGCTTGCGTGGCTTGGTTGGTTAAGTGTCCAACTTTGATCAGGTCATTATCTCATGGTTCGTGGGTTCGAGACCCTCGTTGGGCTCTCTGCTGTCAGCTCAGAGCCTGGAGTCTGCTTCAAAGTCTATGTCTCCCTCTCTTTCTGTTCCTCTCCCTCTTGTGCTCTCTCTTTCTAAGAAAAGGAAGGAAGGGAGGGAGGGAGGAAGGAAGGAAGGGAAGAAAAATAAAGAACCCTAAATTCTGAGATCAGCAAATTATCTGAGAGATCCCAGAGATTAAGTACAAAAGAGAAGTTCTCCAAATCTTGCCAAGAGGCAATAGACCGTGAAGAGGAACAGTCTCTTACAACTCAAAGCAGGTAACTTAATAGTTATTTTTTGGGGGGAAAGTTTTTTTATTTTTTCCACTGAGGGAAAGAAAATCAGAATGCAAAGAGAGCTGGAACTGCGTTATCATTCTAAGTAAGATCATTGGTCATGTGAGATGGAAAGATGGTCGGGATCCCAACTGCCTGAATCTTGGACTGGTTAGGTTAAGTCATATTATAAGTTTTAAGGCAGTGAGGGGGTTGCTAAGAGAACAATTGGATTTTAATAGTTATCTAACTCCCAGCTTCAGCAACAAAAAGCTGAAAGAGGCAAGGACTGTTTCATTCCTCAGGGGTCAAGGGACAGAATGTTTCCGTATGATGGATTAAATTTTTGTAATTTAAAAAATTTCCTCCACTTTGAAAAGAAAGAATGCCTAAATTTGAGGTCATTTTCTACTGAGGCCAATGGGGTAATTAATGTCTCCCCCTGGGAAAGAGCAATATGTTCTTTCAGAAATCCTGGTAAGTTAGAGGCTAGAGTCTTAGGGCAGAGATGGCCAGAGATCAGCTTGATGAGAAGCTGCAGGTCCTGACTATAAATAGCGCAGCAGATGACATCAGACAAACATTGTCACCAAGTTAGTCCTTGCTCTTTAAAAATCTAGCTGTTGGGTAAAGAGTTTTCGGTCCTTGTCAGTATTAGAGGAAAATTTCATTGAAAGAGGGGATGTAGGGAAGATAGGTTCTGCCTTTAAAAGACCAAAGATGGAGATTTTATAGTCTTGGAGAGAAAAAGGGAGAAATAATAGCTATTATAAACATTGTTTATATGGAAGTCTTGGTAGTAAATAGATAATTACCTTACTGTGTACTAGAACATGCACCTTTGCAAAGGAGGCTAGGCATCTAAAATTCACAGTTAGGTAAGATTCCTGGCACACAGAAGCTACTTACGAGGCTAGCTAGCAATTCAACTGACTTCCATTTTGGAAGAAGCTGGGTGGGAAGGTTGGTTTCTATACTCAACACAGTTAAAAGACAAAAACTGCACAGTCAAAATCACCTTGAATTACTTAGAAAGGGACCAGGATGGAGACAGGCAAGTCACATTTCACTTGGTCCAGCAGAACCAGTTTTTCCTCCAATGCAAGAACAGATCACTGTTTCAATGGTTGACCACCAGATGAAGTACTTGAATTGATTTCACAGGCCCTATGTTGCATGAGAAAATGCTTAAACACTACAACCACCTAGGGAGATGCTTCCACAATGAGACCAGGCAAAAGGAGAGTTACTGATGGAACAGCAGATGTCTCCCTGTTCAAGCCAAGCTGGGATTTGTGCTCACCCAATGGCCAACACATCTACCAGCACGTTAACATTTCTCATCTCTCTTCACCAAAGGCCTATAGCTATAACCGTGTTAAATATGCATTTGCTATTACAACAGTGATATATTTGTTCTCCACGTCATTGCCAAACTCTGCAATACCTACTCTGCTGAGGCATGAAAGTGTATGCTTCTGCTCACAGGAACAGGTTTTGAGATTGAAATATAAAGCTTACTTTGAATTAGAGAAGCTGTGTGACAAGGGAATCCTAAATCTTAGGTATGGGTAGGACGTTATCATCTGCTGCTTCTGAGGGTCACAGAGCCATTTTGGAAAAGAATACAGAGACCAAAATTGATAAAACTTTTTTATTGGTGATGCTCATCCTCTTCAGAGGTCAGTAGGAATGATAATGAGGTACATATGAATTGCCATGGGATTCCACACGTGCAGGAGTATAAATCCTTTGTGTTTTGATTTCTCTTTGTGCCATTTCTGTTTGGACATAATTTGAAAACAAGCTTGGCTTTTGTACTTTCTAATTATGTTAAGATAAAATACTCATAATGAATGCAGTATGAGATTCAAGTAAGCCTTTGGGATCCTAAACCCATCCTAAGTAATCACAGGCTTTAAGATAAAGTAAACATACACATTTACCTAAGACAAGTACTTTTGTGTATGTATATGTTGGGGCAGGGATGGGTCTCATGTAAAATTTCCATGAAAAATCACAATCAGTTCAATAATACACTTTTTAAGGGTTGTTTATCTGGAAATTAGGATAATCAAAACAACAAAACATACACAAAGAAGCCCACTTTTAAGCAAACCTTTGTTTTTTAAGCAAAAATTCGGGGGGAGGGGGGCAAAAAAATTCTGGTGGTATATAGTTTTATGGTAGCTGTGAGGACTTTCAGCAGCTGGCTGATTTCTTCATATCAGCTGGCATGACTGGCGAATGACATTTCCATGAAAAGCTTTGTCATCTTTGTCTTCCTTCTACAGGCCTTGGTCTTGTTTCCAAATGATGATTCAGTGAGGGTGTAAGGTCCATGACCTATCTACCTGTATGGTTAGTGTCATCCACTTTGGGCAATTAGGAATTGATAATAATTAGAATTAGATAATTATAGATGAGAAAACCCTGATGAAGTATCAGGATGAGTGAACATAGATCGTGGGGCGAAGACCAAGATTTTATAGGTTTTTAAGAAGATATTTAAATTTTTGCCCCTATCAAAGAGAAGGGTTTTGTCATCTGGTTTACATTCAAGACCTAGTCGGCTCATCATTCTGAGCAATAAATTTTCTTCTGGGTTAGGAAATCTCATCATGAGACTTGAGATATACTGGTTTGGAAAGTTTCCTCAGTTTTTCCTGGCTTCGAAGTCCCCGGCCTCGTAGTGGGGTAAGGCCCATTGGAGGCAGATGAATCTGAATAAGAATAATGATAATATTAAGAATTATAATCATTACAGCTGCTTATTCCTTGAGGATTTACTAAGTACCATGCTCCCTGCTAAGCACTAAATCTACATAGACTCATTAATCCTTAAAATCCTTACACACATTAATCCTTATAATAATCTCATAAGGAATTAGATAACAATTATAGATGAGAAAATGGAGAAGTTAAATAAGTTGTTCAAGCCTATATATACATTAAATGGTAGAGCCAGGATTTGAACCCAGATCTGATTCCAGAGTTTGTGCTCTTTGTCATACTGCCTGCATGGAAGGAACAATGACCACAGATCACATGGTGAGATGAGAATCCAAAGGCAAAAAAAACAGTTTGGGTAGATAAAGCTATTCTGTACAGATCAGAAAAGTGGGACCAATCTAAATGCCTACTATACAGCTGCCAGGTAAATTACAGTATATTCTTGTAACAGGATATGTGGCAACCATTTAAAAAGATGGGAGGCAGAGATGGCCAGGACAGATGACGTAGAATAAGTAAGCACTAAACAGTATGTCCAGGATCCCATGTACTTTAAGAAAACATATATAAACGAATACAGAAAAAAGACAAAGGAGATATTACCAAACTATTATGTTGAGCCAATATAGTGTAAAATTACTGTTTTTATACGTAGGTCAAGAGTAGAGTATTGGCACTTTCACATGATCCAACCGAACAGTTACAGCGGTCACATCTACAGGGTGAGAATTTTGGACCATTTTCACTTTCTACCTCATGCACTCCTCTAATGCTATTAACAACAAACCTTACTTTTATTATAAGGAAAATAAAAATATTTCCATAAAAAAGATGAAAGTCAATGGGGCGCCTGGGTGGCTTAGTCGGTTAAGCGTCCGACTTTCGCTTAGGTCATGATCTCGCGGTTCGTGGGTTCGGGCCCCGCGTCGGGCTCTGTGCTGACTGCCAGCTCAGAGCCTGGAGCCTGTTTCAGTCTGTGACTCCCTCTCTCTCTGACCCTCCCCTGCTCACACTGTCTCTCTCTCTCCTAGAAATAAATAAAACATTAAAAAAAATTTNNAAAAAAAAAAAAAAAAAAAAAAAAAAAAAAAAAAAAAAAAAAAAAGAAAGTCAAAAAGAGAAATCTATCTAAATATGGGCTAGCTTTCCCTTCTATATGTGGGAAAGTTGTATGAGTGGGAGAAATCAGGCATTCATTGACATTTTAGATTGCTGTGATGGGTTGGCGGCATGCAAGGATAGCTTACTTCCAACAACATGCCTCCCACAGAAGCTCTAGACTGTTCGACAAACTCTGGCCCTCTTGGTACACGTTCTTGGAAATAACTGGGCTGGTGAGGAGAAGTACCCACTACATGTTAACTGGAGTCACACTTACTGGCCGTGGATAAGGAATCTGGTAATGCAGTCCAATTTCAATCCTGGCTGTGCATTCATCTATACACTGTTTAATCAGTTCTGTGTCTGTGAGCTATTAAAAAAGGAAAACAGGTGAGGTTCTTAGCATCTTTCTAATGCTCCTTATGTAGAGGTGTATATCTTCAACTTTCTCAGCTCACCGGTCGGTAACTTAACTGTTGATACTTTAAAAAATCAAAAGCAATTTAATATAAAACTTATTGTAGATTAAACTTTTTAAAAAATTATGGCAATAGCTAATACCTGCGCACAGTAAAACATTATTCAAATAACACAAAAGGATATAATATAAAAACAAAATTTCCTTTTTACCCCTGTCACAGTTCCCCCTTTTCAAGGACCACAATTATCGGCAGTATTTGTCCTCCCAGGGATATTCTATGTAGATAAAAGCATACGTGTATATATTTAGTTTTTTTTTCCCTACACACAATAGCTCACTTTGTTCTGAACCTAACTTTTCCCCCAACAAGTTGTAGCTCCTTCTATATTTAGAGAGCTGCCCGTTCTTTTTAAGAGCTGCACAAAATTCCAACATAAGGCCGTGTTATAATTTAATCAATCTTTTCCTGATGGATATTTAGGTTATTTCCAGTCTTTTGCCATTATAAACAGTTCTGTTATGGATCCCACTAAAATTGTTTTTGGCTTACATGCAAATATATCTAAAAGATAAATTCCTAGAGAACTGCTGGGTCAAAGGGTATATGTTCATGCATTTTTAATTCTTACAGATATTCCCTCTGGATTCAAATTACCCTCTAAGAGTTTGTACCAATTTATAGTCTCACCAACACCCTGGATGAGAGTGCTTCTCCACATCTTCTCCATGTAGATCAAACGTGAATCCAGCTGTTTGAGCAAGTGCTGTCTAGAACCCCCCAAGTAAGATATTGAGGTATTGGAGAATGATCCGCCTCTTATTTTGAACTGTAAACTGCCCTGTTCACTGGTAAGGGAAAGAAATGGCTTTTTAAATTCCCAAATAGTCAAATCATGGTAGTCCAGTTTCAAGTAAAGGGATGACAAGTTCACTCTAAAAACCAAAACGAAGGTAGAAGGAGAAACCCTTACATTTCAAGGATGGAAAATGAGTCAACACGTGGCTCTGCTAAGAGTTTGCAAATGGGCCTCAAAGCAGAGCTGGGATTGTATCAGTCCCAGATGACACCCACAGTGACATCTGGGCCAGCAAGGCTTGGAAATTCCAAGGGCGTGCCTGTTCTATGGCACCTTTTGGAGCAGAGAAGAGTTCTAGGAACTGCAGTGCACAGAACTACAGCTGGGTCCCCTGGGGCAGAGGCTCTGCTTTCTGACCTCTGCTTCTCAGAAGCTGTTGCTCTGATGTCCACATTGGGAATAGATTTCCATGTTCCCATTTGCCCATTAGGATTCAGAGCAATTCATGAAATACCTTTGGATTATTATTAAAATCTTACAGCAAGTGAAGTTCTAAGAAACAACTTAAGTCTGCATAAGGGACTGGAGAGAAAGAAGCCTATCAAAAATATGTATGGCTGAGGGGGCTGAGGGCTCCCAGGACTCCAGCTGTCCATCTGAACAAATCTGGGTTACAGTTCTCCAAATTCAGTCATTCAGAGGCTGCCTTCAAGATTCTGCTATATCCACACACCATTTAAACTAACATTAAACTTGTCTTTAAATGTACTGTCTCCTAAGCATAATATTTGTGTAGTTATCTGATATGCTATTTTCTTCCTAATACATGGCAAAATAAGTACATATCTTAAAATTAAAAACCCACGTACCTCCTCCCCAGACACAACAAAATAATCTTATTTAGGTTGCATCACTGGCACACACTTCCTTCTGACTCACACCACACTGGGCCAGTCCAAGCAGAGGCAAAGGAAGGATTGATTACTGCCATAACTGAAAACCCTAAAGGCCTTGATCAGTCCTCACATAAATGAGCCTGAAAAGGTTTAATGGGCACATACTGCTATGATATCTCTTCAGCACTGGGCTAGACACTGTGAGACCATGGTCCCTGCCTTCAACTATCAAAGTTATTACCTGGGCAGAATAACTATGATGCATAAAGCTACAGAAAAGGCATGGAGGCATGTAATCAACAGGGCAATGACCGCTGCAGATTGCTCTAGAGGAGTTCAGAATAGATTGCTGTCATGGGGTTGAGTGAAGGCAGAGAAATTGAGGAAGACTTCCTGGAGAAGGTAAATGCTCATGAATTTAGTGACAACCACAGGCCGGTCCCATGGGATATATAAGAAAGTATAAGACATTGTCTCTGTGCTCAAGGAAGTGGCAGTCTGGTTGGCGAGACCACTCCAACATAAATGAAACAAAGAAGAAGGAATATGACCAACTACTTAGGGACAGGCATAGGTTATAGTGGTCTCTCGACTTTTTGATTATTTACTCCTTTCAATAAAAATTTCTGAGCCCATAGCTCCTATACATGTATTCACTGATTTATAAATATATTCAGTTCATTAAATATATCAAAAACCTTATAAGTATACACTAAATAGGCATTTTAATTTTTTTATTTAAGCATTTTATTAAAGCTTATTTTTTTAGTAATCTCTACACCCAGTGTGGGGCTCAAATTCACAACCGCAAGATCAAGAGTCCAATGCTCTCCCAACTGAACCAGCAAGGCGCCCCATAAACAGATATTTTTAATGGATACAATAAAAAATAAAGAGAAATAGCACTTGCAATATTTTATTTCCATTCCTCAGAGAACTGTTGAAGGACTTCATGAGGCGTATACATTCTGGTGTGTGGCATGACAAGTTTGGAGAAGCTGGAGAGAGGTCAGAAAGGCAGAAGCTTCATGAGTAGGTTGGTTTTATGAAGCAGGGAGGCCTCAGATTCTGAGAAGGGGAAGATACTATAGTTTGGGAGGTTTCTTTATAGTGCTTACCCCAATTGTAATTTTTTCATTTCTTACCATCTAACTCTGAAACATCTTTGAGGGATCCTGTCTTGGTTTTGCTCATTTTATGTCCTCAACATCTAGTCCAATGTTTGGCACATGGTGGGCACTCAAATACTTGCTGAATGAAAGAATGAGAGTGGAGAGTTGCAGAGTGGTGATAGGAGCTATGGCAGAAATGGGCAAGCTGGAGAGGGGAGGCACCCTGGTGGAAAGAGGAGTTCTGCTTTGGATCGTTACGCCTGGGGTGAGGTCATTTGGGAGGCTGGTGAGGGGCTGACACTGGGTTTTCAGATGTGGGAGCTGGAACCCTGTGGTTGCACGGTCCCTGGGCCTCAGCGCAGAGGGCTGACTTTCAGAGGATCCTGACAGCTGGCAGGAGGGTGTGTGGAGAAGACAGGACCCAAAAGGACACAGAGACAGGGGTCAGAGGGAAAAGTAAAGACAGTAGATTGTCAGGAAGTGTCACGAGGGGAATAGTGACAGTATTGACTCCATGAGATCAATGAGAAGGAGGCAAGAAAAGTCAGAAGCAGAAAGCCTCTTTGCATGCTTAGTGCCAGGCAGTCTTTGTAAGGAGCTAAGAGCCAATGCTTTATAGTTTGTTGGGATGGGTCGCATCAAGCCTCTTACAAATGGTTTTTGGCTCCCTGGTGTCTGGGTGTGCAGTTCCGTTAAACTACTTAATGGAGGCACTATCTTACCCAATTCTGTGGTCCCAGAGGGCAAACTCACTCTGCTAGCCAAAGAGGCTTGAGTTCAAAGTGAAGTTGTGAAGGGAACCCTGTGTCTTTATCCTATTCACTCCCTTCTGAATGGGTTTATACTCGGAGGCCTTGAATAGTTTATGAATTAAAAAAAAAAAGTTTAACTGTGCACCTCCTGTGGGAGGGGCTGGGAACAGACGCCGTGTGTGCAAACTGTTCCTCCCCTGAAAACCCTCACTGGCCTGGCTTCTGTCACCTGGCTCATAGGGTCTTCCCAGGACGCTGAGGCACTGACAGGCTGGACTGAGACCTTAAACAAATGACCAGAGGAACTCAGACTGGGCTCTGCTTCCCAGTGGGTGGGCAAGTTAGCTAGCCCATGCCTCTGGGCCCTCCTGCCCAACACTCTGCAACTCTGACCTGTGCTGTTCAGTCCTCTCAATTTTAGGATGAGAAAGAACAAATATCACAAGAAACTGCCCTCCTCCTTAAGATCTCCAATTGGGTCCTACTTACATTTTTGTTTTTCTGGAACAGTGTTCTGGCTTCATTTAATATGTACTGTTTTTCTTTAATGGTGTCTTCCATCTGCCCTGATGCCGCCTGCCATTTCCTCACAAGCCTGAAAATTCTGCGGTAGAGGCCAAGAACTTCTTGTCGTGTTGCTGTTGTCATCCTCAGACCCACCAAAATAGAAGAGGGAAAATTTGCATGAAAATTCAATTTGACAGTAGGCAGCTAGGCAGATGTACATTTTTTTTTAAACCAAGCTCTTTAATTAGTCTGGAAATAATTGCTCTTTCTCAACAGATCTGTTTGGTAGCATTGCCAGAACATGCTATAGGAACACCTAGCTATCTGTCAGCCATGCTGGTATTATCACCCCATGGTTCAGAGTTCATATTTGCTACAATGGCCATTTTTACAAACACGGTAAACCAAAATTCAAATCTACTACACTTTATTTTTTTTTAAAGATTTTTTTCTTAATGTTTTATTTATTTCTAGGAGAGAGAGAGAGACAGCGTGAGCAGGGGAGGGTCAGAGAGAGAGGGAGTCACAGACTGAAACAGGCTCCAGGCTCTGATCTGGCAGTCAGCACAGAGCCTGACGCGGGGCTTGAACCCACGAACCACGAGATCATGACCCAAGCAAAAGTCGGACGCCCAACCAACTAAGCCACCCAGGCGCCCCTCAAATCTACTACACTTTAAAGCAGTAAATTCTTTACATCATCTTAGGAATGATGCTTTTAGTATGTATTTTTGTGAAATTACAGCACTTACCAGAGTGCCTGGAAAAGGCACATTCTGAATAACTACATTTTCTTTTTTTTTTAAGTTTATTTATTCTAAGACTGTGTGTGTGCGCAGGTGTGAGCAGAAAAGGGTCAAAGATAGAGGGAGAGAGGAAGACAGAGAATCCCAAACAGGCTCTGTACTGTCAGCATGGAGCCTGATGTGAGTCTCAAACCTATAAACTGAGATCATGACCCAAGCCGAAATCAAGACTCAGATGCTCAACCAACTGAGCCACCCAGGTGTCCCAAATAACTAAAATTTCTAATTAAGTAACTTGAGTTTAATGCAGGGATAGCAAATTCAAGCATGTCCAGGCCTGGCAGCTAACAAAATGAGAGAACCTGGCTGGGTGGAGACAGTGGCCAGGAGAAGATATACCCACCCCCCACCCGCCACTGAAAAGGGACAGTTGCTACTCAGCATCAGGCAGCTTCTGCCATGAAGAAATGAGGGCCTAGGAATGCCAGATTTCCTGATAGTTATTAGTAGGTAGCAATCAAGATTTTTTAAAATGTGAAATCTCAAAAAAGATACTGATTTCATTCTTTTTGAAAGTGTGAGTATCATGAAGGCCAAACAAATTGAGTCTGTAGACTCCGTTCTACCCAGAGGCTGGCAGGTGGCAACCTCTCTTTTAGTTCATCATAACCTTGTTGAAAATATTTCTCAAAACTGTTGGTCTGCTTCCTTGTCCATGTAAGAACTATATAGTAAGTATAACTGAAGATCTTGCTGATGACTGAAGAGCTTGTGGCCTCTTTGGGTTTTTACTCTGAAACATCAGTTTTAATTTCAAGAAACTTGGCTGAGTCCCAACCTAAGTATATTCCCCAAAGCTAAATGCATTTTATTTATTTTTTTTTTAGGGGGGAGGTGGAGAGGGGCAGAGACAGAGAGAGACAGTGAATCTGAAGCAGGATCCAGGCTCTGAGCTGTCAGCACACAACCTGACATGGTGCTCCAACCCCCGAATCATCAGATCATGACCTGAGCTGAAGTCAGACACCTAGCCAACTTAGGCACCCAGGTGTCCCTAAATGCATTAAAAAAATTAAATTCTTGTCATTTTATTTTATCTGAAATAGTTCAGATATAAAAAAAGATAGAGAGAATATACTTTACAGCCATATATTTACAATGTATCTTAAATAAATTATATACCTACCCCTACCGTATCCCCTTCCAATCAAATTTCCCTTCCTTTGTCCTAGTAAGAATCACTATCCTGAACTTTTTATTCATCTTCTCACACATATCTTTACACTTAACATTCTATAGTACTGCTTAGCAAGTTTACAAACCTTACACAGCTGACCCTTGAACAATATGGGGCTTATGAGCACTGACCTCCACATAGTCAAAAATCTACAATAACTTTTGATTCCCCAAAACTTTACTAATAGCTTACTGTTGACATGAAGCCTGAGAACATAAGCAGTCAATGAACACATATGTATGCATATGTATCATCTACTATATTCTTATAATGAAGTATGCTACAGAAAGGAAAATATTAAGAAAATCATGAAGAAAATACATTTATAGTACTGTTCTGTATTTGCAAAAGAAATTTAAATGTGCCTAAGTGGACCTGCATAATTCAAACCCATGTTGTTTAAGGTATTATGTCCTGCAACTTGCTGTTTTTGCTCCTGTTTGTATGCTTCACCCATGTTGTTACATGTAGTCCTAGCTCATACGTTCTCAATACTGCAGTTCAGTTCCAGTATACTTGTCTATTCTCCTGCTAATATTCTACTGATGAACATTAGGTGTTTCCTTTTCTTTCTCTTCTTACTTATGCAAAGACTTTAGACTATGTCTTTACTATTTACTTTTACTGCTATATCTAAAAGAAATTCAGAAGGTAAGGGAAGACAGAAAAAAAGTCTCAATACTAAAGAATTCTGATTAATCACATTTTAGAGAATGAATATTGTAGTCTTTTAAAAAAGGGTACGCTGGGAAGACAAGAACAGATCCAGGCACTGGAACACCTCGTTATGAGTACTGGGCTTTCCTAGACAGGCTCATCAGGATGAGGAAGTAGGTTTCTCACTGCCCTTTGGGAACACGACTCAATTCCAACCCAACATATGGGTGTAACATATGGAGACTGTATGCTTCAGGGTGGTCCTGAGCACATGAGAACTTGGGCAGCTAAGTGCAGATGGGAGCTGGGAAGAAGTGAGTTCATCTAGAAGTTCTAAGTACCTGCAAGGAATTTACCTTAGAATTTCTTTTGAATATGATTGCCTCCCTGCTCCCTGACCCTGGTGACCTTTCTTGAGCCATGAGGAATGAACCAAGGCTTAATCATTTGCTGAAAAGGTCAAAAGCACTGCTTCACCCAATTCAAAGTAAAAAGATGAAAGTTATAATCAACACCAATTCTGACGTCCATGGGTGCCTCACAGAAAAAAATGCTTAGGAGAAATTCGTAAAAACCAGGAGAGAACATCATTCTTTGTGGCTAATCGTAATAAAAACCCATGAGATGATGACTTTTCCTGGTAAGGAAACAGGTTTCTGAGTTTCTGGTTCTCCCTAAAACTCCATGGTTTCATATGAAAATACGTGAGTCAGTTCCTGTGAGGGACAGAGAGTCTGTAACTACGATTAATGATTGCTTCACTTCCTTGTCATTAACAGATGAAAGGAAGTGTCATGCAGTTGAGGAAAGGGACAGAGGTATGGCATATTAAAACAGCAGCAACCTTCTCCAAAGCCTGACTTTCTTTGGTTTCTTTCTATTACTCGAAAGAGCCACAGCTTCAAACTGTAACTAATCATATACCATAATCAGGTACATGGCCCTGCAATTAGGGTACTCAAGGTCACAGGCAGTACTTAACTAACAATCAGTACTTAATAGGACTATTTTCAAAACACCTTAATTAATGTATTAAGTGTTTTGAAAACTAATCCTGAAAGGGAGATTAAGTGATATCTACTTCTCCAACATCAGATGACCCAGAAAACCCAAGTCCCAAAGATTTCCAGAGAGAAGGGTCTAGCACTGTATTCCCCATTGTACACTATTAGCAAGTCTAGCTTAACAACACTTCGCAGTCTTCAGAGAAAAGTCAAAAGAAAAATGCCTCTTTTGTTGTTTTCTTACTGGATTTCTTTCAGTTCTTTGAGGGAATCATGTTTTCTTACTATAGGTAGGGGTATACACCAATACTATTTCCTCTTTCTAAAAGGCTCTTTCCTGACCCCCTCTCTTTTACCTGACTCACCCCTACTCATCCTTCAGTTCCCAGTTCCCTCCAGTTCCCATGAACATCTCAGAAAATCCTTCTCCCTCCCGTCACCACATGCATTGGATCTGGTCTCTGTTGAACCTTCCCATGGATTCTTGAATTTCTTCTTTGTGGCACTTATCACTCAAGTAATTATGGTTTTTTAGTGTCTGTCTTCCCCCAATTGATCCTCACGTTTATGGTGATAGTAATAATGTCCATCTTATTTACTGCTCAATCCTTGACACCTACCCAGTTCCATAACTGGTGTTTAACAAATGCCTGCTGATAAATGAAAATATCTTATGATATGGAAAGCTTGGAATTCTAGAAACAACTGAAACTGACCGTGTAAAAAAAATTTTGTTTCAAGTGCTTTCCCCTTTGGTTTATATTTTTGTCTTTGTTCTTATGAAGCAACCTGTTTAGAAAAAGTGCCTTTTCCCTAAGAATTTTCCTTCCTATGGATTTAATGGCTTGAAACCAACGTTTATTTCTTTGAAGCTATCAATGATCTCTCACTACTGATGCAAAGCTTAGATGGCTCTTTACTAGTCTCATGGGTTGATCTGATGTAATGAGGTCTACTGGGATTTTCCCACAGGCAACATGAGGAATATCAAATTGTTTAGAGGATGATATTTTTTAAAAAGATTTTATTTTTAAGTAATCTCTACACCCAATAGGGGGCTTGAATTCACAGCCTTGAGATCAAAAGTCGCAGGCTCCACCGACAGAGCCAGCCAGGTGCCCTTAGAGGACCACAACTGAACCAGTCTCAACTGGCCACAAAATCTATTCTTATAGAATTTTTAAAGTTTTGTAACTTTTATTCTGAGAGTGACATTTTGTCAAACTGTTTCATTTTACTTCCTAACCCCAAAGCCCCAGAATGAGGAAAGGTAAGAGATAATGAAATGTTCCTGGGAGGAAATGTGACTAGAAACTGGCCTTTTCTTCTTCTTTTAATGCTTATTTATTTTGAGAGAGAGCACTCTAGAGAGAGAAAACACTTGCGAGAGAGAGAGAGCACACGAGCAGGGGAGGGGCAGAGAGAGAGAGAGGAAAAGAGAGACTCCCAAGCAGACTCCATGCTGTCTGCAGAAATCCCGACACCAGGCTTGATCTCACCAACCTGAT